ATGCTACACGCGAAGCAGATAGGATGGTTCTCATGGGTGCGATACTCATTAGATGGACGAAAAAAGTGAGATGGGGGCCTGTAAACTGGAGGTGAAGCTGGAAGAGGTGGAGCCGATAAGGAGACTGGATGCGGTGGGGGCCTCGCGACCACAGCTGCGTAGCTGAGAGGTTAAGGTGGTGCAGGTGGTGCGTAGCCGGCAGTTGAGAGATCAGATGGTACCGAAGTGCATGGATAAGGGGCTGGAATTGTAAGAGGGCATCGCACATTTCAGTGCGTATGGCCTGCTGCAGTGTCGAAAGCAGGTTTTCGGTGGGCGCGACGCTATGCGGCAGCAGGGAGAGCTGTCGGGCGACTTCCTCCCTGATGAAGTCTTTGATCTGGTGGGACAGAGTTCCTTGGCGAACGTTGTCATTTGCGAGTGCGACGGCCGAGATCGAATCTGGTGGTGGGACAATCTGTCGGGCGATGAAACGCTGACGGCGCAATTCATCGAAGCTCTGGCAGAGGCTTACGAGGACTGCCACCGTGGTCGGGCTTTTCGCCAGCAACATCTGGAATGCGCCATCCTCGATGCCCTTGAGAATCTGTCGAATATTCTCTTCTTCAGGCATAGATGGGTTAACACACCTGCAGAGGTCGAGCACATCCTCAATATAACTAGTAAACCTCTCGCCAGGCTGCTAGGCTCGGTGGCGTAAACGCTGTTCAGCACGGAGCTTGCGGACCTCTGGCCGAACGCTTCGGTCACGGGGTCTTAAAGGTGAACCAGTTCGCGATGGCGGTTGGTAAACCAAAGCTTAGCGACGTCAGCCAAGTAAAAGATAACATAGGTGAGCTTAGAGTCATCGTCCCACTTGTTGCTGGCGCTTACGCGTTTGTACAAAGAGAGCCAGTTTTCGACATCTTGCTCACCACTGCCGCTGAAGATTGGTGGGTCCCGTTGACGGCTAGCGCCGGGGCAGGTAGACGGGGCAGCCGATGGTGCTGGCTGTGCTAAGATGCTTGTGCTGGTTGGGGACTGCTTCAGTCATGTTGTGTGGTGGTCTCTCGGCCAACTTGCGAGAGCGGAGCTCCAGGTGTCTGCTTGGGGATCTCAGCAACCTCCACCAAAAGTAGATGATGTTTATTTCACCAGAGGAGTCCCAACGAGGTCGCAACGAAAAATGGCCGTACGCCAAAGTCTGGCAAAGGCGGCACAGCTTCTCGCGAAAACAGAGCGCGGGGCTTTTCGTGCTCTTCCGAATGCACATACGCGTTGGTGCGTATGCTCCACTACAATAGTAATATCTGGAGTTTTGCATGTCAAAGCCACAGTACATGTCGTAGCCACAGGCATGTCGTAGGGGAGGGCTCTGGAAATTTCCATCGTTTGGTGACCTTCAATGTGCACCAAGATCACACAGTACACTGGCATCTAGAATTTTGCCTCAATAAAAATGTGACCACCATGGCATAACTGGTTCCAAGTCCTGGCAGCACAGTGACATTTGTGCATTGAAGAATGGAGCAAGAAGAATGTGTGAGAGAGCAGCTGGTAATATTTACTTACATTGGTAAGTGAAGGAGTCTATAGACTGAACAATATACTGTAAGACGTCATCTGCATATAACACTTAACAAGTAAGCCCATTAGAGAAAAGCTAGTGTTGTTACAGTGATACTGGAGAGCACTTCATTGAACAAGTATGCACAAATGTAGTATTTTTTGTAGGGGAGTGCAAACGTTCGGAATTTAGAATATTTTATAATAGTGTTTGCCATTTAATTCGATTCACTCCGGACATTTACTATCAGAACTTCCCGAAAACAAATACAGTCAATGTTCGATTCACATTGGCACCTTCACATTTTTATTACGCTTCACCACAGAACACCTACATATTCTTGTATTGAGGCAAAGATGACTTTCAGACTCTGACCCTGTTCCAAATGTATTGACTCGAGCGAACGTTAGTTCCAACATGGAGATGAGAGATGTGGCAGTGGTCGGGGCTGAATTAATGCCGTTTTGGACCTGAAAATTATGAAGTCTGAAGAATTGGACGCCGAAGATTTTTAGCATCCAAAATTTTGGATGTCTTTATCCATAGTGGGGTCAATTAATGGAGAGAGCCACGCTCTTGGAGTGAATGGACACAGTAGATGCGGTTGGAATGATCCAAGCCAAACAACACACATTTATCTAACTACGTTTAGAACGATAATATCGTCAGCCAAATAATTATACATCAACTGTGCTCAAACACGCTAAAACATCCTTACCCATAATTATGCAACACTCAACAGCATAACATACACAAGGCGGCAGCGCCAACGCTTGACTCCCCACAAGGACCCCCGGCAGATGGCCCGCGGTACCGCGCACCAAAGAGTCCGGGACCCACGCGAGAGACAACCGCCCGCGCCAACAGCCACGCGCCAAAGAGACTCGCTCAATTCTCTCGTGCCACCACCAAGGCTTATTGCCAGGGGTTACCGCCGGCGCTACCGACCTAACCATGATGATGATAGTGGTGATCAACGCTCGCGAACACGACGCTGCCTACCGCTCAATAATTGTGACCCCGAAATACGGCTTCTGCGCGAGACACGTGCGCCACGCGGCACAAACAACTTTACAAAAAGTGTCACCACCCCCCACATTATTGACATCTGCAAGGCAGATTTGAAACTCTGGATTCGAATGGAGCACACTCTGGTCTGCCACATCAATTTGACTTCCATAGAAGTTGAAGGAGAAGGAGAGAATGAGGAAATATCATCTTTGCCTTTTACGTGTAAAGTGTTTTCGGCAGCATTTTGGTTGCACCAAATCATGTACAAGTACATAAATACAATTTGGCCTCTGCATTGCCTCATTCTTGATAAGAAAACCATGAATGCCCCCCCCCCCCCCCACCAGGGCTTCAAGATGTTGTCTCATAAGAATATGCTCAGGAATCCTATCCAACCTTTTTTTTTTTTGCTCCAATTTCACTTTAAAATATTTGAGAAGTATTCTAGAAACATTTGGTTAGATTCGCACTCACACTTCAGCATTCAAATTCACTTTGCACTTGAAGTTTTCATATTCACACAGCTGTACTTTTTAATAAAGAGAAAGTCTGAGGAGAGTTTAGTGCGATTATGGCTAAAGACAAATCTTATACTAGTGTCATGCGGGCACTTGAGATCGCGATCAGAGCTGATCTGGATTAGGCTCGATCCAAGTCAGGTGCTGCTATACAGTCACATTTATTTGTGAGTAGGCCCGACTGGGATCAAGACTATCATGATCTGGCTCCGTGATCATGATTTGATTGATGTCTACACGAAACTTGATCTAGATTAGGCTCTGCTGGATAGCAGCGACTGACGTGTTATCACTACCAAGAAGCACGATCCGTACTTGCTCTGACTGTGATCAAAAGTGGCCTTGTGACCGCGGTGTTAGACTTGTGACACCGGCACTAGGCTCTAAAGACAAATCTCAATCTTAAAGAGTCACACTGTAGTATGGACTGTTTGTTCATGCCCATCTTCAGCAAAAGCTACGGCTGAAGGTGAATGCTCACATATATATGCTGTGATGGAAAGAAGAAAGAAAGCTATCACCACTTCATACATACAATTTAAAAGTGTTGCACCAAAAATGTGCACAAGGGGAGATGCATGTATCAACTTTAGTGCTTAGTTCGTCGACTGCTGGAACCACCTAAAATGAGACCTCCCCATTTAAGTCGCACGAATTTGAGTGACAGTGTGAAAACAAATCGCCTTCACATAGCTAGTACCAAGAGGTTGGTACTAGCTAGGTGAAGGTACTAGCTATGTGAAGCCAGGGCAGGTACAACAATAATTAATTTTGCAATGGAAACCTGTAAGTGTGTACAGTTCAAGTATAAGAGCAGAATTTAGAGCACAAGGCTTTTTAATTACACATCAAAATTGTAACAAAATTCCAACTGCTTTCGAAAATAGATAGTTTATTTTGCAGTAAGGTAACCAAGAAAGGCCTAAAAACAACAAAAAACTATTGCATACTTTTAATCTATAGTCATTAGTCTATGATCGGATACCTTAAATATCACTTTTAATTGAGTTCCTGGTGCCAAGCATTCACGAATAAGAGTTGTACTCGCAACAGCACGCCAAATACAAGATATGCAACATGCTATGCAAAGCACGCAAAGTTTTCGCGCTCTTTATTGTCGATGATGTCCATGGCGAATATGAGACGAACGAAAGTGGAGGTCAGCATACAAAACTGTACAAGCGAGTCAAATCAGCCGGCAAATATAATCTAAATATCTCATTAAAAACTCTTTAAACATAAAAAGTTACATATTATGAAGTGATTAAATTATTTTTACACAGACATTACTGCAGCTTTTAGTATCATCTCCTAGCTTTTGGGAGCACGGTTGTGAGCACCAACGCAGCGCACTGGGGCACGATTAACAAAAACCACTTATTTGCTATAAAATTGGGTGACATGTGAAACAAAGACGCGTTATAACCTGTAAAGAAGCATTGCACAAATGACATGAAGGGCATGTGACAGCACTTAATGCATAAAGCTTTGATATGCATTCTCTAGCTGTGATGAACCAGAAGTGTCAGGTGCCAATTCTTGTCAACCTATTTTAGTCGCAATTCCTTCGCCGGAAGCTCGTGTCATGTCGCGCTCAGTAGTGAGAGAGGTGCAATAGCTCGTGCCCCCTTTAGTGAAGCGTCAGAGTCGTAAGTTCACATATTTTACGCGTTCGAGTGAGCTAGCACCCCACACAGGAGATATAGACTGGTGGGAATTCTCAAAGGTCCACTGAGTATAGGCTGTACTGTATAATCTAGTTGCTGCTTATACGCGCTATACAAGTTCTGGTATAGAACACATCTTTTCGGCACGTGATACTGTAATTGTTGCTCTCTGAGCATCTTATTGCAGTTCTTGAGCGAGTTATTTAATTAGGCCATCTATATTAGTGGGCCTAATATAACTTTTCAAATTTATTTCAGGCTCACGTCATGGATGAGTATGAAAGAGAGTTTGGTGATCTCCTCTACTTGAGAAGCAAGCCTACGGTCTATGAAAGGTTTTACAATGATAACATAAAAAAGATGGTAACAAAGTACAACTTTCTTCCGGCGGAGCTCATTGAATGCAGAATGCAAAGCCTTTGGAAGAAGCTTTTGGCAAAAAATCCTGCTTTAAGGTATGCAGTTTATCTAGTTCTCTGTTATCCTGCTGTGTTTTTGGTTTTTTGGTTCTTATAACAAGACACATTAAGTTAAAACAGAATGAATAATTGAATAATTTAGCTGTCTCTGTCCGTGATACATTGAATTAATTCTGACATTTGAAAATGCAGACTGATGTCTGAAAATAAGATACTGGCATATGACATGTGCAATATGCAGCAGTTCATGTTTTTTTGTGTGTATGTGAACATTTTCCTAATTGAATGTACACATCGATTCCATGCATAATGATAGAGTTATCTCAATATTTTTATACACACATGAGAATGTCATGTATGAGATCGCCAGGCTTCAAATACAGCTAAAGTTGTTAAAGTTCTGCTCCCTCGTCACATGGTCCCCAAAATGCCTCGAGTACTGACAACAAGGATTTTCATATTAAGTGTTGTCACATTTTCTCGGTATGTCAGATCAAACCTATATCAGGCACAGCATAAAGGGACTTTTAAATGGGGCCCTGCAAAACCTATTGTCTAAGCCCGAAGGCACACAAAAGTCAGTGCTTACAATGCCTTGCAATATTCGCGAAGAAATTTTACGGCGAAAATGTTATCAGATCACAACAGGGGTCGTTTTTGGAGCTGTAGTCGTCCGCCACCGCCTCCACTGCTGTCGATGTCTGTAACCACTATCACGCGAAACAAGAAAAAGACTAAATAAATGAAAAATGCCGAGGACAGAATGGGTTTAGAACCTGGGACATCTCTGTGCCAGCCTTGTATTCTATAAACTGAGCTACACTGGCGCTTGAAACTTCGTTGCAAACCGAGCCCAGGCAGGCTTTATGTTGGGTAACAAATTGCGTTATTATGTTTAATAAAGCGTTTTCGTACAGCAAAGGAACAAACAGGTGTCACGCAATGTTGATTGTGTAATGAGTCGGTCGTTGAAGGCTCCAACCGCTTAGAAAAACCGCGGGCATAATTCTTCATTCGTCATCAGCCACAGCATCAACAATATGCACATAAATCCTTGCAAGTCTGTAGTGAGTACCACACTTCTCCGAAGAATGATGAATAATGGCATAGTGGAAACTTACACACTACACAGAAATTATGATGATTTATGGCATTGTGGGTACTGTGCAAGTGTGATTCTAGCAGTTACCCGAAGAGTGTAAAAAAGGCTCTATAAAGGCCGCTCTTCAAGATTTTGCTTTGCCTGTGCTGTGTTCCGCAGGCATGGTGTTTTTTTTTTTAAAGAACTTGATAACAAGTATAACGGTGTTTTCCATGAGAACAGTGAAGGAGCCCTTCCGTAGTGAAGGGCTCCGGAAATTTCAACCGACCTGGGGTTCTTTAATGTGCACCCGAATCTGAGCACACGGGCATACAGCATTTTCACCTCCATCGAAAATGCAGCCACCGTAGCCGGGATTCGCTCCTGCGACCTACGGGTAAGCAGCCGAGGGCTGTAGCCACAAGGCTACCGCGGCGGCGCTTTTTTTTTCCCGAGCACAGACGATAATGAGGAGTAACCTGCTTGTAACCTTTTTCTTTTCTTCCCTCTTTCTTTCAATGGAGCATTAAAGAGTGGCATCTCACAATCATGTTTAACAGCAACAGAGCAAAGAGGACAATCAGCAACTGCCACTTTTGCACTTACAAATGGTATAAAGAATGTGCAAATGTTAGAGCTTTTCTTTGGAAGTAGCTCACGTCATGAACAATCGGCATATGGCCTTCATTCATGGGCTGTTGTGCTTATGAGCGTGGCTCAAATTCTGCAGAAGAAGTGAACAATATGTTATGCAATATTCCTAGCTCTCTTACATGCATGCTGAATGTTTGACTTGCGTGTTCACAATGGCATCGTTGAAGATTCTGTCAATAGCGAAGATTGTCTAAAGCCATTCGGAAACCTACATATGTGTCTTATGCATTCGTCCCCAAAAAATACCTGTAGTGCACTCGTTGTGATTAATTATTGCCCTTACATAGAAATTTATCTTCCAGGAGCAGGCATGAAAGTAACATCAGAGACGCAAAGCTCCTCTGTGCAAAGAACAAGCAAGCAAAGACCAGGCAAAGGTGAATACAATACTTCCGCATACACAAAAGTGCATTCATAACAATAAAACTATTAATAATATTATTGTCATTGTGAGGAAGAACTTGAAAGCATGATGCTTTGTATATTTTCTAACAGAAGAATCCAAGGGAAATGCCCAATCATGTTACAAGCCACGACGAAGATGTTCCCAGAGATCAGAATCCTTGACATACCATGATGAGGATGAAGACTGTGAAGGGGACCTCTTCCAAACCCCACTTCCTGGCTTTAAGACCAAGACGTATAACAGAAGGGCTGTGGAGAATCGTTACAGGCCACTAAATATACGGGTCACCAGACACTCAACAACTGTCCCAAAAGAGACTGAAAGACCAGCAACACCCCAACACAGTGACGATGAAAAAGAACGAGAAAAAGACCAAGACGATGATCCTTCATCAACAAGTGACAAGACAAGCGAAGCGAGCCAAAGTGACGCATCAGAAGAACACTCATCGGATGACAGTACAGGCATCTCTGATGAGGTATGCAATGGTGATGTTGTGTCCATATCTAAGCATCTCATGATGAAACATGAACCCTCATTTCACACAACCAAGGACAAACAGAACAGCCTGATCTGTAAGAATGAACTGACCACTGCAGCTGTTATAAAGTACAATGACTCAGATGTTGCTGCGAAAGCAACAGTGGCAGAATCAGGCCATGCAATGCTGCACCAATGTCACAACTGATGCAATGACAAATGTTAATTGCCTGGAACGACTGGAGCGAAAAGTAGATGGGATCAAGCAACTGGACACGATCATCGAAGATAAAATCGTGACACAAATTCGGTGGCACATGTGGACAAAGGCACAGGAGACGTCGGTGATGTTAGCCAAGCACTTTGCTACACATACAACGGTAACAATTTCTGCAAGTGAGACTGACGAAGAAGATAAGGCTAGTGCTGCATTTGAGAGCATTGGCAGCAGGGAGAAAAGTATTCCATAGCAGCCAAACAAATTGAAACAGCCCGACACCACAAGTTTGTCGGAAGATGATGCGCAAGAGAAACCCCAACTGGAGACTCTGAGGAAAGCTGCAGTGGCTTTGCAAGTCACATGAACGAAGAAGCTGCTACTGCAAGGTGGCAGGAATGTCATAAGAGTGAAGCAAAGCTGCTACAGGGAGAGGAGAGCAAACAAAAAGACAACAAAGACCAAGGGATCAGACAGTTCAAGAAATGTGACACTTTGGCAACGTAAACCACATGAAGCAGTCACACCAGAAAAGCCAATTACATCTGGATCAGAAAACGGCAACTGTGAGGTGATCGGGTTCGGCGAGGCACAGAGATCAAGGAAATCATCAGAGGAACTCGGTGTAAGAAAGCCACAGAATGAAAGCCACAAACTCAAGTTACGACAGATGCAAAGTTGTTTCAAAAACATCGCAGACCATAGAAACAGAAAAATACAGGCTGAGAAGTCGAATTGCACGAGTGCCGCAATCAAGCAAGAACCTCATGAAGCAGCCATGGGACACAAACTAAGCAGACGTGCTGAAGGCAGACATGTCAAGACAAAGCTATCTCTCAGTTACCTAACTAAAAAGATGGCTGGAAACTATTCCGAACATTCATTAGAGGACAGTATTAAGGATAAAAAATTAGAAAGCAAGCAAGAACCTGTTCCAGATGCCACTATGCCAGCAGCAAACAAAAATCATGCCAAAAGTGAGAATTACATTCATAAGAATGAGGCAGGGGTCTCCTGTGCTGAAAAAGGGCACAAGATATGCAATAAGACCTTTGATGACAAATGGTCCCATGAGGCTGGTGATAAAAATGGTAAACTGAACGACACGACAAAAACATACGTCAGTTTCTCTAAATGCTACAGTGTCAATGTTGTCAAACAAAAGTGATGCTTCAGTCCTCACTCAACTTCATGAACAGCACAAGACCTGCAAGGAGCCATCTACTAACAGAACCTTTGCAGATGTCAGAAGGAAGAGTGACATAGAAGGGGACAACAGGCAGAAAGCTGCTTCAGTCTGGCTATATAAAACAACAAGCAAACTGGGCAAAAAGAGTACAAGTGACAAGAATTGTGTTCAGACGAAAGTCACAGTGGTCTCCACTGATGACATCGGACATAAGACATGCAAAATGCCACAGGCAGACAAATGCCATGTGGATACAGGCAACACTGACAAACCAAATGGGCAACGACCTGCTTCAGTTAATAAATGTATTGACGATAAAAGCAAGAATGATGCTCACAGAAATGCTGCAGTTGTTTCTTAACCTCATGAAATTAAAAAAAAAAGCCATTCACTGACAAATGTCCTAGAAATGTTGACAACAGGACTAAAAAACTGATGATTGCACAAACTGCTTCAATTTTACAACATGCGACTATGCCAGACTCAAAAGCAACCAAAGACAAGAGAAGAAATAATGTTCAGGAGAGTGCCAAAACAGCTTCTCAAGCTTACAAAGGCTGCAACATACATAAAGAGTTGCCACAGCAGACTTTGGACATTGATAAGAAGGGCAGCAAAGTAACTGAAGCAGTGACCAAGAGCATTGATGAAAAAGATGACACACAAAGTGCATCCACAGTGTGTGAAAAGCAAAAAGAACAAAAGAAGATAAATGAAGACCCACAAGTGGGGCAAAGTGACGGCAAGAAGAAATCTGGACAAACCATGGCAAGCGAAAGGTGCATAGAAAGAAGGGGCAATACTTGGATGCACATTGCACCCGACTTCACAGCAGGTGAAAAGAGGAACGAAATAGCAGGAAAGGATGAAATAGGCAATGATATGACGCAGGGACCAGTGAGCGACATTGCATGCAAACATACACACGAAAGAATGCAAAGAGCAGTGAAACACCAGGTCAAACAGCCATTGCATACCCCGCACGACGTATCAGAAAGGATGCCATTGCCGATCCAGCAGAGCTTGAAAAGTTGAAAAGCACTAGCAAAGAACTACAAGAGGACACAACAAGCAGCAACACTAATAACAACTAGGTGGTGCGCAAAAGGTTTACTGAAGGTGGCAAGACGGCTACAAACTACGCTACAACCACTACTGTGGAAAGTCAAGGGCAAAGGAAAGTACGGAGAAGGACTGTGACAAATTGTCCAACGTCTATGGCAAAAGTCTCAGCAGCAAAGGCCACACGAAAGGCATTAGATAGAAAATTCTACGATGACACTGAGGCCATTTCTGACAAAGAAAATAGCAAGCCTCTGTGCAGCCCTCCTAGGGCAGATGCCACACGTACAGATTTTGGAGGCAATGTGCTGGCTAAAGATAGTTTCAAAACTCCAAAGTATGTAAAATCAGTGGAACTTATATGCCCACAAACGCCACGAAAGCGTAGAAGTCTCAGGCAAAGGAATCTAAAAACACATGTCCTTGGAAACAGTGAAGATCTGGTAGATGAGCAACAAAGTGATCCAGAAACTCCACTAGGCATTAGAACCAAGTGCATGAAAGAACGTGCAAAGAAGGCCACTGGGACTGAGAAAAGACATCACAACCAGAGACAAAATATGTACAGCAAAGAAAAGCAACAACTTCAAGAAAAGGGTGAGGCGTGGATGGAAATTGAGACTGAAAACGAAGAACTAGAGATTGATCCAAGAAGTACGGAATGGCAGGGACTCACTCGGAGTTCCAAGCCTAACCCTAAACAACCTGGATATCTACTTTTGTTGGTGACAACATGGTGTGGGACAAGTGTTGACGTGTAGCAAACATTGTCAGTCAAGACAAAGGTAGCAGTGTAACTATACTGCAACTGTCAGGGTGTATAAAAGGAAACGTGTTGAATGATAAGCTACGGCAAAGTGACCCTAACGTGGACACTGATATGTCTCAGACAAGAAGCTCGGAAGACCTTCGTGGATTGACACAGTGCCGCATTCAACATTCAGGAACACACAAAGAGAAAGTAGTGCAGGATTTGTTCCTGACCACAGATATGAGAGAGGGCAGTGGAAGTGAAATAGAATTAGACAAGAATGATTATTCAAGTTCCTTGTCACAAATGTCGAGTCGCATGCAAGCCTGCAGTCTTTACTCGCAAAACGAAACCAGAGCAGCTGCCACTCGAGTCAATGCTACAGGAGGTGTTCTTGGAAAAAAACCAAATGATGGCTCAGTCCAGAAAGATCGAGGACAAACAGCAAAGAGATCCTATCGGGTGCTAAGTGAAAATGAACAAGTAGGAAAACATGAGATGCCAAAGAAAGCAAACAAAGCAAACAATGAAAGAAACGAAGTACACAATTTGAACACAGAATTTGACGATGACGAATACGCATCTTCCTTTTTATTTGGTCCTTATGATGATGAGGCAGCCACATCTGGTGGATCACTCGGATTTTTAAAAATAAATCTCACTCCAACTCCACTCAACTTCCTGAAAACCTCCGGCGGCAGAAATGATTCAGAGTCTGAAGAAGAACTGTTCCCGTGGCTCGCAAACAATCATGAGCCCGAAACAAACAAGAGAAAATCAAGGCCATCATCTCGGGATGACCCTCGTGAAAATGGCACGAACGGACCAGATGCTAAGCGGGTGCGTTTTCAGCAGGAAGATTCTGGGACACCTGCCAGGAGGGTGGCAAATGTCAATACAACTAGCTTATGCACTACCAAGATGTATGGGAAATGACAGAACACTTTTCCCATCCATTCCTACGTACAAAAACACGTAAGGTCTTTCTAGTCTATTGCAATGGCATGCTTACCAAGCTATGCAAGCATGCCTGTTTGATCGTTCCATCTTTGGTGGAAAAATGAACAAAAACTTGCATGACCTCTTTCATCCTTCCCACTGGCATCTCATCAGACTACGTACGTGAGTTTGCATGCCGACATTTTGACCGCGATATGTGTGGGAGCAAGCACAGTCTTTCTGGATTCTCATATTAGCATGCCCTTTTTTGATTGTAAATACAGCGATGAAACATTTCTGGGCATATTCCAACAATATCAGTGAGCATAGTTGTTTCTCACAATGAGAAAATACTTGAGAGCTGCTAAACACTTATAGTGACATAAGCATAGTAAGTTGGAACCTTTAAACAGAGCTAACACGGCATCATCCACTCTTAAAGGGCCACTCACCACGCCCCATGTCGAATTTTAGTTATTGTAAGTGTTGGGTGTCCGATGAGGAACGTTTTGCCACAAAAAATTTTTCGAATCGGTTCTTTACGACCGGAGAAAATAGGTTTTTTGAAGTGGCGCGAAACAAGGAAAAGAGGAGGCGAACTCGAAACCCTTGCTGCTCCTCCGCGTAGCCCTCGCAAGCCAAATATCTTCCCCACCCTCTCCAGCATCTGACCACGAGGTCACGTGTGCATGACGTGCTCAATCAAGTCCAACCTCCGAGCACGCGAGCGGCGTCGCTTTGTTGATCAGCGTTATTTTGTGGTCTTCTGCCTGTTTCTGCGGGATGGTTTGGAAACGCTGGCTTAGACGCGATAGAGTAGATGAGCACAATGAGTGCGCGAACGCGTAGGAGCGTTCCATGGCAGTCATCTTCTCGATGCGCTGATCGCGGGGACACGAACGCATGTGGAACGCTGGCACATGAGCCCCGCATCTCGTAGCATTTCACGGGAACAAATGAAAGAAAAATGCGCAAAATTTTTGATTGCATCTCATAATTTATTTCGTTTTATTAATCTCTTAAAGCAACAAATGCATAAACTACGCATGTTGTGTTAATTTTAGCCATGTCAAGTGGTATACTGTTGACAACGTCAGAGCAGACTCGTCTATGTAGAGGACCAACGTCACTGCATTGCCGTGTACGTAGGGCCTTCCTACGCCTACGCCATGCCCTCATTCTCTACGCGTGCGCCGGCAGAGGGGAGGAGGAGCAGCTTTCATCCTGAAAATTGACCCATTTCCGTGGCGCGTAGCGTTGCAAAGTTTGGCAGACGTGATCATGAACGCCTCGTATATGCATTGTGCTTGTCAGTTCAAAATTGTCAAACCTGGTGAGTGGCCCTTTAAGGGCAACAGATAATCAATATCTTGCTAGCAAGGCCAAGATGCCCGAAGACAATTCCTAAATGCATAAATGACCAGCCTTGTATGTCACATCGGGTACACTTTTCCAATATGCCAAAGGAATATCTCAGTTGTATTGGGCTTATTAACAGCAAATACTATACACAAAATAGCATCAGTCCAGTTAACGTGCCTCATTCAATTTTAAGAACAACAAAATGTGAATTATGCCTGTCTAACTGGTTCACAGACAAAACAAAGGAATCGATCCTATATTCTGTTGATCCTAATCTTGAATACCAACTACACCGTGACCTCCCAAGACGTATCGACACACTCATTCATCGCCTACAACTCGGAACTGCTAACACAAAGCACTTCCTACTTCGTATTCAGTGTGCAACATCGTCAGCATGTTCATGCGGCCACGACGACGAGGATATCTGTCACCTCTCGCTCGACTGTCCGAAACACGACACACACCGAAGGCGACTAGAACAGGAACTGCATAGGTTAGATCCCGAGCGGCCATTCGGGTTGAATAAAATACTAGGTCCATGGCCATCCAAAACAAACGGCAAAGCAATGAACGTGCTGCAACAGTTCTTCGAAGAAACGAAGATTTGTGACGAATACTGAGCGGACAAAAGTTAAAAGTGAGCATGGCGTGTACATGTTTGTTCTGCCCAAAGGAGAACTTTTGCTCTCACCCATGTAGGACTGGTTAACTGGCGGAACATGGGAGAGGCCTTTGTCCTGCAGTGGACGTAGTCAGGCTGATGATGATGATGATGTAGGACTGTATATATGTATATATGCTATGGTTTTTTTTCCATATTTTTATTTGTACCAATTAGGTGGAAAGGGGTAGCCGTCGCCAAGTAACGGTGACAAAAACTCCTTTGTTATTTTCTATTTCAATAAAAAAAAAAATCAGCCCAGTTACAAGTCACAAAGTCTGTCGTGGCAAGCGATGCACACATGAAACTGTATTTAGGTAGTTCCTGCACGTTCAGTTCAAGTTCTCTGCAATAAACTTATAAGGCACGAACTGTCAAGCCACTTTTTCAAGGCTTTTTTGAGAGAATGCAGCTAGAACTGCAACGTGATACTGGTGACCTTTAGCTGCTCAAAAGCTGCTAGAGGTTTTTATATTGTCCACGCATGCTATTCACCATTCTCGCCAATTCAGTATGCCAAGTTTAATACTGTTTTGTTGGGCATTTTGTGAGGAGTGACCTCTGTTCAAAAGTAATCACTTCTGGCATGAAGCAGTACAGAGACTGTAAAAAAACAGCAGGAGCAGCACATCACATGATCAATTGGTCATTTCAGGATGACACCGACCACTCATCAGTGCACAGTAGTCTCCCGTCACTCCTGTCTCGTCGTGAAGCAGAGTTCTTTGCATCTGATGATGACGAAGACCGTGGTCATGTTGCCGATGGCGACTATGAAGTTTAAAGGCCTGGGTTTTCTATCAATTTATTTTGTTGTACAATGGTTGACACAGACTTTATTGCAGTGTTTTCAAGAGTGAAAAACAAGAAGCCATTGAAGTTTACACGTATGTAAAAACCAATAGGGCTATCGCTCCTTTATTGTCAGAGTCTTTTTCGGGTAAAGTTTGAGTTGTTCCAGAGTCTGTTTTGGGTTTATTGTAGCAAGCTGTAAAGTGAAATAAAGTTCCATTATTGTTTCAGCCAACATAAGCACATTTTTCTCAGCGAAGCAGAAGGCATCAAATGAAAGCAACACTTCACACTCAGCACCACTATAAATCTAGCTTTTTTTTTGGGGTCACTTTCTTACATAACAAGCCTCAGATAAAGGCTGAACTCCTAGACTTAGTATTCCAGAGTTACTATCGCCAATGTCAGCCCATAGAGTTTCCTAAATATACACTAGAGAGAACTATTGCGCTAGTGTCTATGGGAGCTGCAATGCACAGCCCTTCAGTGAGCATGGCAAGGATAGGTAGTACAAGGATTTGTCTAATTTTTGTAATTCTGGCTCCGAGTGTGTTCGCGTGAATTGGAGCTACCTTCTCACGAAACAAAAATCAGCAAATGTTCAGAGGTTGCGCTTCAACACCTTATTCTTCTAGGCTTGCCATTTCAAATCAAGTCACTGAGTTCAAAAGGCTTCATTCTTTCCTTCAAAACAGAACCAGAACACTGCAATAAACGAAGCCACAAGTGCGATTCGCCACCCCCATGCATGAAGACTAGGCAAATCCGTGTACTATTTATCATTCCCATGGTTGCTGAACGATTGCAGTGCCAGAGTTCTCTCTACATAATTTTAGGAAACACGATGTCTCAGCCAACTTAACATTTTAATTTTTAGCTGCAGTTTAATGGGACCTATTAATAGTAATATCTGGAGTTTTGCATGTCAGAGCCACAGTACATGTCGTAGCCACAGGCATGTCGTAGCGGAGGGGTCTGGAAATTTCCATCATTTGGTGCCCTTCAATGTGCACCAAGATCACACAGTACACTGGCATCTAGAATTTTGCCTCAATAAAAATGTGACCACCATGGCATAACTGGTTCCAAGTCCTGGCAGCACAGTGACATTTGTACATTGAAGAATGGAGCAAGAAGAATGTGTGAGAGAGCAGCTGGTAATATTTACTTACATTGGTAAGTGAAGGAGTCTATAGACTGAACAATATACTGTAAGACATCACCTGCATATAACACTTAACAAGTAAGCCCATTAGAGAAAAGCTAGTGTTGTTACAGTGATACTGGAGAGCACTTCATTGAACAAGTATGCACAAATGTAGTATTTTTTATAGGGGTGTGCAAGCATTCGGAATTTAGAATACATTTAGAATAGTGTTTGCCATTAAATTCGATTCACTCCGGACCTTTACTATTAGAACTTCCCGAAAACAAATACAGTCAATGTTTGATACGCATTGGCACCTTGAGATTTTTATTACGCTTCACCCCATCACATTCTTGTATTGAGTCAAAGATCAGAACTTCCCGAAAACAAATACGGTCAATATTCGATTCGCATTGGCACCTTCAGATTTTCATTACGCTTCACCCCATCACATTCTTGTATAGAGGCAAAAATGACTTTCAGACTCTGATCCTGTTGCAAATGTATTGACTCGAGTGAACGTTGGTTCCAACATGAAGATGAGAGATGTGGCAGTGGTCGGGGCTGAATTAATGCCGTTTTGGACCTGAAAATTATGAAGTCTGAAGAATTGGACGCCGAAGATTTTTAGCATCCAAAATTTTGGATGTCTTTATCCATTGTGGGGTCAATTAATGGAGAGAGCCACGCTCTTGGAGTGAATGGACACAGTAGATGCGGTTGGAATGATCCAAGCCAAACAACACACATTTATTTAACTACGTTTAGAACGATAATATCGTCAGCCAAATAATTATACAACAATTGTGCTCAAACACGCTAAAACATCCTTACCCATAATTATGCAACACTCAACAGCATAACATACACAAGGCGGCAGCGCCAACGCTTGACTCCCCACAAGGACCCCCGGCAGATGGCCCGCGGTGCCGCGCACAAAAGAGTCCGGGACCCACGCGAGAGACAACCGCCCGCGCCAACAGCCACGCGCCAAAGAGACTCGCTCAATTCTCTCGTGCCGCCACCAAGGCTTATTGCCAGGGATTACCGGCGGCGCTACCGACCTAACCATGATGATGATAGTGGTGATCAACACTCGCGAACACGACGCTACCTTCCGCTCAATAGTTGTGGCCCCGAAATACCGCTTCTGCGCGAGACACGTGCGCCACGCGGCACAAACAACTTTACAGAAAGTGTCACCACCCCTTACATTATTGGCATCTGCAAGACAGATTTGAAACTCTGGATTCGAAGGGAGCACACTCTGGTCTGCCACATCAATGTGGCTTCCATAGAAGTTGAAGGAGAAGGAGAGAATGAGGAAATATCATTTTTGCCTTTTACGTGTAAAGTGTTTTCGGCAGCATTTTGGTTGCACCAAATCATGTACAAGTACATGAATACAATTTGGCCTCTGCATTGCCTCATTCTTGATAAGAAAACCATGAAATGCCCCTCCCCACCAGGGCTTCAAAATGTTGTCTCATAATAATATGTTCAGGAATACTATCCAACCTTGTTTTTTTGCTTCAATTTCACTTCAAAATATTTGAGAAGTATTTTAGAAACAATTGGTTCGATTTGCACTCACACTTCAGCATTCAAATTCACTTTGCACTTGAAATTTTCATATTCACACAGCTGTACTTTTTAATAAAAAGAAAGTTTGAGCAAAGTTCAGTGCGCTTATGGCTAAAGAGAAATCTTATACTAGTGTCATACAGGCACTTTAGATCGCGATCAGAGCTGATCTGGATTAGGCTTGATCCAGGTCAGGTGCTGCTATACAGTCACATTTAATTGTGATTAGGCCCGAATTGGATCAAGACTATCATGATCTGGCTACGTGATCGTGATTTGATTGATGTCTACAGGAAACTTGATCTAGATTAGGCTTTGCTGGGTAGCAGTGACTGACGTGTTATCACTATCTAGAAGTACGATCAGTACTGGCTTTCACTGCGATCAAAAGTGGTCTTGTGACCGCGGTGTTAGACTTGTGACACTGGCACTAGGCTCTAAACACAAATCTCAATCTTAAAGAGTTACACTGTAGTATGGACTGTTTGTTCATGCCCATCTTCAGCAAAAGCTACGGCTGAAGGTGAATGCTCACAGATATATGCTGTGATGAAAAAAAAGAAAAAAAGAAAAGCTATCACCACTTCATACAATTTAAAAAGTGTTGGACCGAAAAGGTGCACAAGGGGAGATGCATGTATCTACTTTAGTGCTTGGTTCGCCGACTGCTGGAACCACCTAATATGACCTCCCCATTCAAGTTGCACAGATTTGAGTGAAAGTGTGAAAACAAATTGCCTTCACATAGCTAGTACCAACCTCTTGTCTGCGCCAATTCTTGAGTATCTTGAACCTGGTGAGCGGATAGCCTAGAGAGTCAAGAAAGACCAGCAGTACACCGAGCTCTGCCGATGCGAGAAAGCGTCGAGTCAGCGATCGACCATTTGGCAACTTAAGACGAATCTGGACAACACGGTCCGAGGAGTCTGCTGGAGGCTCGGGAGGAACAGCAAGCTGCGCAGAATGTCGTGGATATTACGACAGCTAGCTTGAGTTCACTGGTTATCAGCAGAAGTTCAGGTGACAAACAGTTACTGAGACCTGTATGTACACATGCAGCCTTTGTCAAAAGTGAGGGACTACAATGCGTCATGTATGCTGCTTGGCTGATATGTGACTGCAATTTTCTCATTTGTTGTGCTGTTGGAACTCCTTGCATACCACATGAAAGTTTATAAATGGCCTGTAGTTGTCCATAAAGTTGCAATAAAACGTAGCCTATATACTTTTGACAGAAACTGTACGGAGAAAAAGGGCACACTGGGCCATCTGTCTAGGATAACTTAAGGGGGTGGACTAGTCTTTGGGACCAAAAAGTGACAAAAATTCATTTTTTAAAATTGATATATTTCGTTTTTGCAAGTATTTTTCTATCTCTTAGCAAATTTTCACACACCAGGAAGTGGCAATTTTTTTGTAATGTCATTCTAACTGTCCAGATTCTTGGTGCTATTAACATGCAGAACCTTCAGAAAAATGAGAAACCAACTTCGAGGTTTCTTTATAATTTGCCGGCACCTGCGTTAGAAACTTTGCTACAAATTTATGAGCACCTTCATGAGGATTCCAAAACATGTGCACCATGATTGTTGCTTTTTGAAGAAGCTGTGTGTTATCAGTTTTTTCCATTTTTCTCAAAAAGTAAATTTACGACTGTTCAATTTTGAAGCCTCAATATCTCTGCAGCCAGGGCAGGTACAACAATAATTATTTTTGCAATAAAAACCTGTATGTGTGTACAGTGCAAGCATGGGAGTAGAAGTTAGAGCACAAGCCTTTTTAATTAATTACACATTAAAATTGTAACACAATTCCAACTGCTTTCGAAAATGGATAGTTCATTCTGCTGTAAAATAACCAAGAAAGGCCTAAAAACAACAACTATTGCATACTTTCAAACTATATTCATTAGTCTATGTTCGAATATCCTGAATATCACCTTTATATAAGCACTTTTTTTTCTATGGTGGCCTTAAACAATAGGGGGTGAACTTAAGTTATCTCAGGAACAAGATGGGTAACAGGAAAACTAATTAAGTATTTGAAATCAGCAGAAAAAACTGCATAATCCTGTGCAGCTTGATCAAGATCACCGAAGAAATAAAAAAAAAATGTCTAAGACCAGTCTGCCCCCTTAACAGGAAGCTTAACAATCTTACGTTTCTTTACAACTTTCTTTTCCCCGATTTTCAGAAAATTTGCAGGAACTCTTTAAAGGCTTAAATTAAGTGACAGATTGCAATGGCTGGAAAATCCTTACATTTCAATAAAATAAACCTCATCTGAACTAGTTTAGTGGATGTCAAGCGATTCACGATTTCCTTCATATGTCTGTGTACTTAATTATTTGAATAGAAGCTCCTACAGTAAAGCTTTCGTAAAAATATTGTTTTGACAACGAGGGCAGTAGCTCCGCTTATTTGAACTTCAATGTACTGTAGTTACTATCAATATTCAAAATAAATTCTATAGCTATTTGACACAGCCATTATTTCATATGGGTCATATAATGGCACCTCTCATTGATGCCACAGATAATGCTCGGTACCACGAGACTACCTTAATTTCGCAATCATTTCAATGCAGTATAATGAACCTACACGTCCTACCAATCACGAGTCAACCTAAAAACAAAAGATGATGCAACTGCAGAATATTTTAGATATTGAGGTTGTCTTGAAACACATCATTCCAATAGACAAAATAGACACAAAATAAATAATTGAAATGAATCTCTAACGCCATTGCAGAATATGATGAAACTGTCAGTGTGAAGGCTGAAGCGTTACCATTCAATCGGTCATGGTTAGACTTTCCATTATTCACATTACAGGAAATACCACAAATATTTTAGGCTATGTAGAGTAAAGCTTTTTAAGAGGCAGCCTTCAAGAAAAATTGCAGGAGCCTATATTGGCACTAGCGTTGGGAATGCAGCTAGCGCACTTGTAGAGAAAATGTCATAAGCAAGGTAAGAGAGGCTTCAAATGTCACCAAGGGCAGTGTAAAAATAAGCACTAACGTTCATCAATCTATTCCTATGCAGCACTAGCATTAAAAAACCATTAAGATGCACTCATTGTTCGTACAATAACAAAATGGCATAACACTATATGCAGCTTTCAGTGAAGCCTATCGAGGAGGTACAAATACAAGAGATGTTCAAACTCCCTGCTCTAACTTATCAGTTGCTTTCAGTAATTTCCAAGGTTTATTTTTTTCTCTAGCCTCAATATTGGCAATGGCTCTCTTTTTTTAATATTTAAAAATGCATCTCATTAGCGAAACATAATATATCACATAGAACCTTCTCTAGGTTTGCACTATCAAACATCAGACTTTTTACAAGACCCAACAAGAAAGTGCACTTGGAAGCTGAAGAACTTCTAAAACAAAATGAGTGTGGAGCGTGTATGGACAGTCTGACATGCTGAATTCGAAAAGCGATGCAAGAGGTCTCAAAAGTGAATGAAAATAGCACTTTCTGGCAAAAAACAAAAAAAAAAGAACAAAGGCTGTGGCTACAGCGCTTCTTGAGATGCTACGCTAACGCCGGGACGCCATCTTTGGTATGTCGCATCATCTGTAGCAGCAGTACTGCTACAGATGATGTAGCAGTAGTGCTGAATGGCACATCATGAGTTAGAGATACGAGAGACGCTTGTTCGTGTCATGCACGGCTGTTTGTCATCATTGCAGATGTCGTAATGAAGCTGTAGAAATTTTGGCCTTGCTATACTTACTTGAGCCTTTGTCACATAAACATTGCTCTTACAATTTAGATCAGTGAGCGGCAGGAAACTTCTGTTGTGGTGTGGCACACCAAAAGAACTGAAGATGACGCAAGTTTTCATGCACTTTTCTTTTGTGTGTTCTTAGGTTCTTGGTGCAGCAACCATGAAAAAAATTATGACATAGTCGACGATAATGTCGTTTCTTGCAAACCACGAAGCTTCATCAAATTCTGAAATCTCTTCTGCTTCTCTTTAATGCATGCCTAGCCATTAAGGTAAGGGATGCTAGTCGAGCCTTAACCACAATTAATCGCTGATGGAGAGAACAAGACCACAAATGTGTGTGAGAGAGGCTGAAATAAATGCACCAGAATTATTTGCTCTGCTACAAACACCACTCACAGTAAGGAAAAAGAAAAGTTAGTCACCTTGTCTTTCTGTTCTCCCTCATTGCTGTGAGTGTTTTTATGTTCACTGTCGCAAACCGGTGCTTTTACGGGTACAGGAGGGCCGTCTTTAGGAGCATTAGTTTGCTTGTCACTGTCACCACGTGGTGTTGCAATGGCTGGGATCTCCTTCTCGGGCACAGTTATTGACCCTTTGCCAATGTGTGGTGGTGGTAAGCTTTTTAAAGCTATGCTTTGCACACTTGAAAGGCCAAGCATGATCACCTCCTTTAGCAACTTGCCATCATCATCGTCGTCGTCATGAATTAAACAGTCGTTAACATCTGGCACTGCACGAGGAGATGCTGGATATTGAATGGGAGGTGGTGGGTCACGGACAGCAGGCTGCATCGTCATGCAGGAGCTATCTCCTACAAGTACTGAAGAACTTTCACGCTGAACACGAGACTCATTCTTCTGGAGGCACTTAGTGTTTGAGTTCATGCTCTTGCCTCCAGAATGCTGCTGTTTGCCCACAGCCGCACGCCCAAGACTGATCACTTCAAGCAAGATCTTGCTGTCCTGCTCTTCATCACTGCTTTCAGATAGGTGCATACTGTCATCCAGAAAATTGCTACCTTCAGGTTTGGAACAAACATGACTAGGGGACACAAGTGGCACTTTAACTGTGTTATCTTCAATGCTCATTGAAGTTGAAGCAACACCATGCCTGGTGTCTTGAGCATACTGCTGAGGTCTCAAAGGGCTTGCTACTGAAATGGAAGGTGTGCTTGAAGGTGGGGACTGCATATCTGACTGAGGAGGCGCCTTGGGTGATTGTGTGCTTGGAGACGCCATGTTTACAGATAAGTCTGGGTTTGCAGCTAGCGCCCTTCCCATCATCACTACTTCCTGCAACAAACGAGCATCATCTTCTTCATCACTACTATCTTGGCATAGTGATTCCATTTGATCCAAGCTGCCATGCATGCTATTGCTTTGGTCTGCACAAGAGTTCATCATGAAGTTTTGTGTAGACGAAGGCTGGCTGGCATCCAAATGACTCTCCAAAGCCACTGAGCAGCCTCCAAAGTGTTTGTTTAGTTCACCTACATTCCCGATGCTACTGCTCTTCCAAGTAAGTTTTGGAGAGGTTGTTTCAACAAGACTGCTCACACTTGAGCTCTGTCTGGCTCGTGCCAACCTGAATTTGTGTGAAGGCATTTCCTTTGGCAAGGCGCTATTCTCAACGGTATGCTGCAATTTACTTTGACAAGTTACATGACTAGACGGCAAAAGCGACAATGAGCTGCTTTTATCGGCAATAGATGAAGCTTTCCCCGGAGTACTGTTTATGCTCCTTGGTTTTGGCACTGGTGCACTTATAGTAATACTGTCCTCTGGCACTTTGCTCCAGCTTTTAGTTTTTGGCTGACAATTTGATGACTGTGAGACCTGCCAGCCCAGCTGAATACACTGCACTATGAGATCAGCGCTGCCTTCCTCTTCATCAGAAACATCAATAAGGGCTTCTGACTTGATGCAAGGCGGCTTCGGAGAGTGCTCAGCTGATTCCCAATTCTTACTATCATCGTGACCCATGCTGAGGTCAGTGAACGACGCAGAATGGGAAAGTAATGATGGTGTGTCCTCTGTGCAGTACACACGCAAACAATCTTCTTCAAAAGATGGTGACTCTGTTTCATGCGGGGACTGAAGATGGCAGTCGTCATTTAGTGATGCACGTTCATGGCGTCTCTGTGGCTTGGGATTTTCCTGGCTGCTTTGTGACGAAGGCCTACAACAACCATCGGGTGAAACTTCGAGCATGACGTCAACTGCAGTCTGCGGATTAGGCCAGGATTTAGCACTGCCAAGGTCATTCAGGGAAGGTGCATGGGAAAGAACAGACGGTGTACCTTCCGTGCAATAAACACGAACACAGTCCTCGGCAAAGTAGGGCACAGCAGTGTCTTCATGCGATGGGCGCATGACACAGTCGTCATTGAATGAGACATGCTTATGTGTTACGTGAGATTTCTGGGCTCGCTCACCACTCCACCTATGACTGTGATTTCTATCAAAAGGCACAGGCTGCTTTTCTTGGTGAGGCCTCATTTCATAGTCATCATCCCAATCAGGGACAACATTTTGCGAACAGGCATTGTTCTCGTTAGTTAATAAACAGGGGCTGTCAGGTCTAGAGTAGCGGCGTGGTGTGCCTTCATGAGCATATCGTCGTGTTGTGTCTGCAAATACTTCGACTGCACCTTCGTCAATGATGGCGACACCGTGGGATGGCATATGAGAGTGACCTTGCAAGTGCTTCCGCTCGTAATATGCCCTGTCCACAAACTGTGCTGTTCTTCGCGCTCTTCTTCAAAGCTGCTTTCTTGAAATACTTCATGCGCATCATTATGCCTGAGCATTTTTTCCGTGTTACTGGCGTCATCATCTTGAGTAAGAGAGCTGAGGCTGGTCGCCTGTGACATGCGGCAAGGAGTTCCTTCTTCTGCAAAGCTTCGTGGGCAGTCTTGGAACACACCACCAATTGGCTGTGGGATGGGCTTTCTGCAAGGGGGAAGCCGGAAAACAGGTTCAGGAGAACGGTGGCGTGGGCTCGGTGGCATCGTCTGGCTCGGAGAGTCAGGTAGGTCACTGGGAGAGACAGCTCCACTTGTATGCTGGCTGTAAAGGTGAGAGTTAACCAATGTGTTATTGATAATGATGAACCTATTGAGCGAACTTTAAAATTAGTGACAGCAGGCAAAGCATCAGGCATCCCTTTTGCATTTGTCGATAACAGAAAGTATTCACTCGATGAAAAATATGGAGATATAAATGTCAACTAATGGCTTGCAAACTCATAAGATATCTTCAAAATAAAACAGCATACACAGACACACGCATGTATCAGGTGTGTGTGTGAATTAGAACTTATAAGTCGTGAAAAGAGACATCATTAATGCCCCAAATAAAATCTGCTTGCACCTAATACAACGAGCCTTCTGCTCTTGGCAAGAAAAATATTCGTCCAGATGAATCTGACTATAAAAGCAAGCAGTAGGTCCTTTATCCAACCAATCACAAATTGCTTCATGTAAGAAAGAGTTTGTCTCAGACTTACATTGCAATATGACTAAAGCATGGAAACTATGCACCATTTATACGAATAAAATTGCAAAACTTGAAAGTATCATTTGTTAAACTGCATAGTTGCGGACATTTACTGTAACCACATCGCACAAAAAAATAATAAAAAAGAGAGAGGCTTTGTGACGCCCAGTATCGCCTTCACAAAAACGTGCAACTTTTTCTCAGTCTAGAAGTGAAGAAGTGTCAAAAAGCCAACGTCAATTGCATTGTTAAGAAACACCATTCGCACGCGCTTCGAGTAGTGAAAACACAAATGCCGTTGCATGTCTTCAGTAGCAACAAGCTAAACACAAGCGTGTTCCTACGTGTCAACACACGATGATAGTTATAGCGCGAGAACAAAACGACGACACAGAGACAAGAAGGACACGAAATACACGAGCGCTAACTTCCGTCTTTCGTGTCCTTCTTGTCTCTGTGTCGTCGTTTTGTTCTCGCGCTATAACTATTATCATGCCATACCAACTAGCCCAAGCTGCCACACTTCTATGTCAACACACGTTCCAATCGACCAATAAGGAATCACGGAGATCACGACTGCCATTTGTGAGAGTTAACAGAAACGGAGAGCAAACCATAAATAACGAAAGAGAAATGCGTCCCATGACAGCGTAGCCTATAACAACATAACAATCAGTGGAAGAAAGGAGTAAAAGGAGGCATGCCTTTGATTGACGGAGAGGTTGTGGGCATTTAGTGCGGCTTGTCGATCCAGGCTGCTGAGAGATCCGAGCGAGCTGCTCCGAGAAAACATCAGCGGAGTCTCGTTGACCTCACCGAAAGCCGCTGCCATCGTGAGGGCTGCACATAAAAAAGGGGCGGCAGGTTGACGCCTCTTGACAAAAGTGCTGCGCCTGCTCAAGTGACGTACCACTGCTTATACAGTGAAGAACGAGTTAACGACAGGGGCGCAGCGCCAGCCCATGGAAGACTACTAGCAAGACATTCACCGGCAAAAGGGTGCACTTGGTTAGCGAATCCCGGTCATGAAGCCAGCCCGCTTCTCCATCGCTCACGAAGCATTTCGCCGCTTTCAGTTGGCACTGGTTCGTAAAACCTGATCGCAACCACCAGTCGGTTACACATAAAGCAGCGTACAAACAAGGCAAACTTCTACAACTCAAAACTAAAGTAAAAGCAAAGCATGACAACACGATGTCTATGGCGGCAGCGCTGTTTGGAAACTGACATAGTTGAGTGTACAGAAAGTAAAAAAAAAATTAATTAAAACAAAAAAGCAAGAAAGTTTTAAAACAACTTTTAATTGTTGAAAAATTTAAAAAAAGTTAATGTAGTGTTTTTATTGATGAACACTTTTCGCAAGCTCAACAGTGCGCAAAAGCACTGCCTTTGAGATTTATAATTTTTAGTTGAAGACTATATTCAAAATTAAACATCCTAAACATTAACTTAATATTTGCTCTTAAAACATAATGTGTAAGTTTTTATAATATACTAAGTTTTAGTAAAATTTATATTATTACAAAGTTATGTAAGGCTAATGGAAGCCAAGAACTGCCAAGAACAGTTCGCAGATTTGTTGACAGCTGCTGGCGTCGGCACGTGTTTGGAAACTGGCGTAGTTGAGTGTACAGAAACAAGTTCAGTGGAAACCATGAAGCAAAGAGCGGGAAACAAGCTCCCCAACAATCTGCCGCAGTTGCAGAACTTGATAAAACGTGACCCTTTATCCTACAAAGATGAGGTGAGTAGCTGTTTAGGTTCGTAGCTTTCCGTGGTTCCCGTGTCATGACGATAGTTATAGCGGGAGAACAGAACGACGACACAGAAACAAGAAGGACACGACACGGACACAATGACACGGTCTCTGTGTCGTCGTTCTGTTCTCGCGCTATAGCTATCGTCATGTCATGCCAACTAGCCCAAGCTGCCACACTCCTGTGTCGTGTCGTTGCTGATACTCAGTACGTTGACCGTCGCCTGATTACTGCTGACGACTTTTCGTTCCAGTTCAATCTGCAACGCCACTTCTATGAATCGCTGCTTCAAGCCTTCCGGCTCCGTCCGACGGAGCACAACAAGGAGTTGGACGAGCTGGTCATGTTTTTGGCACAAGTCAGTCACTGTTACGAAGAAGAGATGAAACAGTTCCCGCAGGACATGGTCGATCTCCTCAAGAATTACAACACCCAGCTTGATCCGGAAATGCGGATGGTATTATGTTTTGGCGCATTTACGTTGTTTACATTTACATTGGCTACTGCGACCAATCGTTGAAATATCTGCGTTTAGCGCGAATAACACAGAACAGGTTCAAAGCGGCTTCATGGTCTGGTCCCAGTTGCACCTCAGTTTGACAAACTCCTTGTTTAGAGTGTAACCGAACTCGGAACTTTCGGAATTCACAATAAATACAAGCAATGCAGGAGTCTGTGACCTTATTGGCACGAGAAAAATCCAGTTGGAAATTAAAGGAGGAACGGTTGAACTGATCTGTTTGAACACCGTTTTGAAGCGCTATCTTTACTAAGTAAAATGTCTGGGAGATAAAATGCCTTTGAGAAAGGCTCACCTAAGGCCACTAATGAAATCTGCTTGCTGTTGTCTCGCATTTTAGTGCCATTTGTCACGCGAGACTGCAAGCTCAGACTGAAGTAGACACAGAGGTGAACATAAAATGCACCTAGACGGATAAATTGGCACAAGTCACTTGACAAGGTCACAACTGACAGCAGAATACATCCCTAGGTCAGAGATCTGCACTGAAAGTGTTGCAAGAAGAATGTTTGTTTAGTAATTGAACTGGCATGTGTCTAAAATGTGTCAAAGTTTTCCCTACTTCCATGTCTTGTTGACTTACTGGTCACAGATTGTTGTCGAACGTGCCAGCAGAATTTGTTCAGAGATTTGAGACTCTACAGGGCAAATTAACATTAAGATGATCTTACAAGATCATATGTTGCATGCCAGCGGTTACTAGAGCATATGTTGTAAGCATTCCATATTTAAAAACATATAAGCCTGACTACAGTTAGAGCAGCACTTGCTTGAGATGGAAAAAAAGAAGCCGATGGTGCTCAGTAGCTCCTCATTTCAAGAACACTCAGCTTTCAGAACATTGTGCTTTTCTTTGGGCTAGTAGGCTGGGCACATTTCCGTGTGTATATGTTCTCTTTAGCTCACAACACTTATATTGTAGAAACATTTCCTAGGACGATGTGCTTGATAATATTACAGTAGAATTGACCGTAAGGAGTATCTTGTGACTTTTCATCTATGTCTTTTGTCACCTGAACTTTATTTATGTGTGAGCAAGTACTGATGACATTAGCGCTGCTCATTGGGAACACAGAAACAGTTGGTTGTAGTACAGTGCAAACACATCACAATGTTTTCGTGTGCACCAAGGTTTAAGCTGGTTGGGGCTACATTGCTCTGATTGTTCTCGCAATTGTTTCTGTACAGACGTTCTGCAGAGCCCTAATCCTGCTGCGCAACAAGGGTTTGCTGCAGCCAACAGATCTGCTCGAGCTTTTCTTCAACCTTTTGAGGTGCCAGGACAAATCTCTGAGGGTTTTCCTCAAGAACCACATAATCCAGGATATAAAAAATACCAATGCCAAAAGAAAGGATGCCAAGCTAAACACGGTATTTATTTTCATCTCTTCTTTTCAATCGCCATCACATGCTCCCCAAAGTGGGAAAAGTACTTGACCAGTCTATTCAAGGAACGATCGTTACCTACTCTGTGTGTATGAACATACCCAGAATACAATTTTTGTTTGTTTGTTTTGCCAGCTATCTACGGTGCTTGTGGTTTATGCTGAATATGCCTAGTGCTTGCCATGCGTCAAAGTAATTAGAACGTATTTCATCGGTCAGCTGCACTATGTCATAAATATGCAAAGGCCTTGGGTAATACTGTTTAAAACTTGTACTGTGCATTGAAGTAAACCATTAACAGCAGAGACATATCTTTCATGGAGAGTATACGGACAAGTTTGTGGCAAGATACATGACAATTTTTGCTTGTGTTTCTTGGCCATTCCTTTCAAGATTTCAATTGAGCTTTCTTTTTTTTCCCTTGTTTTCAGACGCTGCAGAACTTCATGTTTACCATGTTGAAGGACAGCAACTTAGTAGCTGCTAAAACCTCTCTTGTAAGTAGCACTGTGTATTAGTCATGTTAATTCTCAATCTCAATGTTCTGTCAATGCAATACACTCATGAAAGGTGGTTTCAAATACTATAATCATGCACTTGGCCTGAGGCAAACGACCACAGTTTGACTTGTAGAGTGATGAATAGTGCACACCTATTTTTCATGCCATCAGAGATTTCTTATGCTCTTGTTCATGTTGCCTCAGAGAAGCCAGCTTTGGCATTGTACAGTCATGTCAGCAGTGAACTCCATTCGTGTATACTGTGGCTTAAAAAATAAATTTCCAACTCGCTATTCTCTTGCGATAAATCTATAGCCTCCATAACCTCATTATTATTTTTTGTTGTTGTTTCAGTCAAGCTTTTCAAAACCAGGCATACTTTCTATGTCATGTCCAAAATGCCCATCGTTTCTGCTTGTGACTGCTCCTTGCAAGCAACACAAGCAACCCAAGTATTTAGGTGCCCTAGAGATCTCTTGCATGCTAGTAGCATTACCTTTTTTGAAACCTGTGCAGCAGCAGGACAGTTGCCATTCTGATAGATCTGTAAAATGCCCCCCCCAGCATGTAAGCTTCTTTGCTGTGCTTCCCTTAGTGCCTATTCTGTTGTTTTAATAGGCTGACAATTATTTGTTTGCTTGGAAGGCTCTAATTATTTTAGGGTACTTATGGTTTTCTTCACTAAATATGTGAGCTTGTTATGAGATTGTTCTTCAAGGAGTCAGCACTGCTTTTCTGCCGAGTGTTGAACAATTATGCTTGATTTAGAGATGTGTAAACAGGTGCTGCATTACCGTTTAATTGAAAGCATCACGGTATATTTAGCAATTTTTAAAGGTGTACTGACACGAGTTTGAGGCATCGCAAAAGGTACATTTTTAGTTTTCTTGGTATGCTGTGTTGACGCTCTCCACACACCAGACTCGGACAACTTGCTAAAATATTTTAATGCAATAGCGTCAAAAAGCTCGTTTGGCAGAAATTCTGGCGTCGGTGTTGTTGGCTGTGAGCAAAAAATCATGATCTTATGTGTGACTGAAAAATCGAGAACAATGCAAATAAAATAAGTAATAAAAAAATCCTGAGTAAAAATGGGGATCGAACCAGGGTCGTTTGCGTGGCAAGCAGATGTTTTACCACTGAGCCACGCGTCTGTTTGGAAATACAGTGAAAGTAACTTGCATGTTTTACAAGCATACACGCCCTGTGTATATGCTTCACAATATACCATGAAATAACGCTGTAATAATGCATGGTACAAGCGTACATTGCCATTGGGCATTAGAAAAATGCGATTATTATGATGACCTCATGGTTTAAAGCCAGTCACCCACTGCAAAAGGCACACACGTTACCATGACTTTCCATTAAGCATGACGATAGTATTAGCGCGAGAACAGAACGACGACACAGAGACAAGAAGGACACGAGCGCTCGTGTCCTTCTTGTCTCTGTGTCGTGGTTTTGTTCTCGCGCTATTACTATCGTCATGTCGTACCTACTAGCCCAAGCTGCCACATCTTCATTAAGGTCACGCTGTGAGTGCATTACAAGTTCGAAAAGATTTCGTACACTAAGTGTACGCAGCGAAATATTGCTATCGCATTCAACTCTTAAAGGCGAAGCTTAAGAGTCCCACTATTTCTTACTTTGATGTTGAAGTTTTTGTCACTGAGCATCAGCAAGCCAGTTCACCGGAATGGACATTATCTCGATGAGTCGACACAGTTCCACTAAGTTTGCAAACTGTGCGTCCTGCGTGCAGCCTAAATCACAGAAATCACTGTCAGTGTCGCTGGAGAGAACGAACTAATCATTGTTTAAGTGCACGTTGTTTATGTTGTTTAATCATTGTGTGCATCACAAGCAGATGGCAGGTCTACCGCTAAAACATCACGAATTACTGTCCTCCCGTGATGTGTTATGCAGTGTGTGGTCACGGAGAAGCCGCCCCTTTGATATCGACACAGAAACTGTTTTTCTAAAATAGTGTAGTTAAAAATATATGCAATGAATCTCCAGGCATCACAGTACTCATTTTAGGGTTCTCGAAACCAGTGTTCTTATCTAAAGCAACAATCTTGAAATATTTAAAACTGGCATCTGTACTCGTTTAAAATACATCGGTGTTTTCTCATTGTTTCGTTCTCAGGATGTCATGGTGACTTTGTACAAAAAGAACATATGGAATGATGCCAAGACAGTGAACGCCATAGCCACAGCCTGCTTCCACAAGGCAACAAAGGTGAGTCCAGTTGCATGGGCTTTGTCCAGTTTTATTGACTCAGGCTTTTCGTAGGTGCTGGCCACTGCTCTCAACTTCTTCCTCGGTAGTGATGAAGAGGAGAAAAATGAAGATTCCAGCAGTGAGTCTGAGGTAGTGTGTTAATGTCGTCCACTTTTATTCTTGAAATTAAAGAAAAGGTGAAACTTGTCAAAGTTTGCAAATGTCCATGATGTGTGCAGCCTGAAGGCCCAAGCATACAGGAAATCATCATGGCTCATCGGGTGAACAAGAAGTCGCGGAAGAGGAAGCGCATCCTTGACAAAAGCAAGCAAGCAAAGAAGGTGGGAGGCCTTCCATAAGGTTACCCTGGGTGCCTTGCGCTCTGTACTAAGGTGCTCAGCATATAACTTAATATGCTGTCTTTCATGTTTATCGTGTGGAAGAGCTATTTCTATAGAAATCATTAGTGTTCCTAAGGCCAGTATTTCTTCATAGCAAAGTAAGTCAGTAGGCAGTAGGAAATCTTGCTTTTTTTTTTCTCACTGAAACAATGTGTCATCTGAATAAATGTAATCTATTAGAAATGATTTGAATATTGTGTTAGATTATTAACTTCCTCTAACATAATACAGAGGTAGAGAAGCAAGTGGACAGTGAAAATATATAAAAGTGATGGTTCTGACTTTGTCTTTTTAAAGTTCCAAGAGCACAAGAGGTCTGCGAGTAATCAATGCTAAAGAGTACAACTAAGAAAGCATTCTTGTGAATGTCTAGCGAGGCCACCTATGTTTTACAAGGTATAAATTTGTTTTTTATAGCAAAGCCACTAATGCAGAGTTGTTGCAAACGAACCTCTGAATGGTTGATTGTGAGCAGATTCAAAAAGCCACTGACTTGATTTCTAGTTTGGGCTCACTGAAATTCCTCCATCATTAAAAAAAATGTTCCGTTAAAGGTTCATCATCTTCCAGAAAGACTCGAATAGTCATGAGAGTAAATCGATGACTATGTTTTCTTTTTTCTCTCTATTCTTTCGTCATGCTTTTCTCATTTTTCAATTCTAGAAACAAAAGAAGGACAGCAAGGCACAGGTTTTCAACTTTTCTGCGCTTCATCTGATACACGATCCACAATGTGAGCTCATCTTCTAAATTCTTTTCTTCATGCCTTCAGTGTTTTCATTTTTGTATCATTGCTATGCGTGCCGCATGTAGTGGTGATGAGAGTGTTGTGTACTTACCATACAATTTAAATACCTTGCAGCCATGGCTGAGAAGCTGTTAAAGTCCCTTCAAGAGATGAACGAAAAATTTGAAGTCAAACTTCTCGTCATGAACTTGATTTCACGCCTTATTGGCATTCACGAGGTAATAATATCCTCCTTTTTTTTTTTTTACAAAGTGCTGTAAATCTGTTCACAAGAAGAGACTGGTAGGATGTGTTTGTGAATTTGTGTTAAGGTTAGCTTTATGACAACCAAAGGTACGATTTGCCATGAAAGTAGGCACTCTTCTTTTTTTTGCTCAGTCCTTTCTTATACAGTTGTGCGCTGTGCCGTCATGCAGAATCTAGAATGCCAAATAGTCATGTTTGAGCAAATCATATGTTCATAAATTAAAAAAACATACCCTATTTTCAGCCTAACTCAATATATTGTCTCTTTTTAGTGAGTCATTAAACTTGGCTATATATATCAGATTATAGCTATATGTATAATTCAGACCTCAATATAACGAATTTGGATATGACAAATTATCCATTATCGATTATAACAAATTAAGGGAAGGATACTTTTGTCATAAACACAGTGTCACAAATAATCATTTGTAACAAATTTTTGGATATAACGAAGTATTTTCATGGCAGGTGTGACTTTGTTATAATGAGCTTTGAGTGTATCTATTTAATGTGTCTATTTATTCACCAGCTCTTTGTGTTCAACTATTACCCATTGGTTCAGCGATACCTTCAGCCACATCAAAGAGGTGGGTCTCTGCTTATGTGTATGCTGGCGTAGGGTTCACAAGGGTCTACTGTGAAACATTGCCAAAATTTGCTTGTTTCACGGCATCTTCTTTGTGACTCGCCATTTCTCTTTCCCTTACAGAAGTCACAAAGATACTACAGTACACAGCGCAGGCGTCCCATGAGCTCGTTCCACCCGATGTAAGTCTTTGCTCATTTGGTCTGCCAGCACTTAATGCACAGTTTTGTTTTTCTGACACTGTATTTGTGTTTTTTTTTTGCTGGCAATTGTGTTTATTGTGCTTCTTTGTAGATTTTAGAGCCAGTGTTGATGACGATTGCCAACAATTTTGTTACTGAGCGCAACTCAGTTGAAGTAATGACTGTTGGGTGAGTAAATTGTAAAACTCTTTATACACATTGAAAATGGCTTATATACTATATGCATCTATAATTATAATAGTATAAATAGTATTTAAAATCATACGATGGGACACATTCATGCACTAAATAGTTTATTGAGGATACACAATGTGTTTGCCGTGTTTTGCATTGATTATTGTCTGCCATATTTGGTACCTGTGCTGGCTAGGTCCTATTAAAGGGACCCTCTCCAGGTCACATAATAAATTTTAGTTAGGCACTAGAAGTCTTTGTATGCTCAATGAAGAGTATGGTGCCACAAGAATTTTTCAGATCAGTTCATTATGAGTTGAGAGAGCTAATATTTTTAGGCTTGTGCGAATAGTGGATTTTAGGCTCGAAGCGAATAGTGATTTTGGTCGGATAATTACGAATTGAATTTGAATACTACATATGACATACGAAGAAAACGGGCATATTTATTATGACCTAACTAACCTACACACACTTTTAAAAATTAAAATGAGGCCTCTATGCAAATGTCTTTTTTTTTTTTCCGTTCAAAGGAAGTCGAAACAACTTTGAGTAGTAGCAGGATTTGACTTTCAGCAGGATGCGAGTCATAACCCTTATAATATGTAACATTTTAAAATTTAGAATACTCGGAGCATACAAGCCGTCATAACAAGCTTTTAAGCCTTATAAAATAAATTGATTTGAGAATAATATTTCTATTTAAAAGGGCTGCACAACACTTTTTCAAGTAACCATGAAATGGATTCTCTAAAGAAGCTTATTGCCTCATAAATTCACTGCCCCAAAAATTTTTAGAATCCTTCCAGCACGCGCGGAGCTGCAAATATTTGTCACACACTGCAAGTTAATTCTCTCTTCTCGTCCCAACAAAAGCGCTGGAAGCTAAGCAGGGAGGTATAGCACGAGGAAAGAAAATATGTCACACGTGCTTTTTGAGCTTGTGGAGTCATTTGCCGAGAGAAGGAGCAATTTTTAGCCGACTTTGAGAATTTGTTCTGTGCTGTGCTATAATGTTTGGCTTGCGTGTCCTCGGTAGCCTCCACTACCGATCGACAGCGTTTTCTTACAATGTTCAAAAAGTGTTGCAGGGCCCCTTTAAACTTGGGTAGCTTCGCGACAAAGCGGATTTTTCCTGGGTAGGTTGTTTCACGGTTCAGCACTCCTACACTGCAGTGAAACCACTTTTACAAGCGGTACATTCGGATCAGTATGCATATATTTGTTCCTTGTGAATACTTTGAAATTTTCAATAGTTTCAATTCAAATCAAAGCAAATTAGAATACCCTACTATGCGAATATTCGAAGCATTTGAATATTCGCACAAGCGTAAATATTTTGTTGCAGCGCAAAACCATGATGCGAGGGGGCAAGCTTAAAGCCCTTACCACGGATCCCATGTAGCCTTTGCGAGCGAAATTCTTTCTCTGCCCTCTTCGGAAGCGGAGTCAGAGTATTACATGTAGCATACATATGAGCACATGATGCACATGCAAGGTCATGTGCGTGTGATGTGCTCGAGCGGGCCTGAGCTCTAACCTGTGCCCCCGAGCACGCAAGTCGTGTTGTCGAGCTTGAGGTGGTCGTGTTATGTTGGCATACTCTGAGGTCTACCGCCTGCTTATGCAGAATGGTTTCTGTTATGTTGGCATACTCTGAGGTCTACCGCCTGCTTATGCAGAATGGTTGCTCAGTGTTCGCCTGTTTAAAGAGGCTGGCACAGATCATGGATCCTTACCGTGACACACTGCATCTTTATCGCTAGCACTGCTGTCTGAGACGATGCACCGAAAGCATGTGAAGCGTTTTCGGGGCCTGTACGACTTGGGAGCGGAGAGAAGAACACAAACACGTGAAACGGAGACAAATTAGCCTCGTATCTCGTGGCTATTAGAAGTGAAAATACACACATGCATACACATAAAAATACGCCAAATTCACTTGAGTGTTTTATCATTTCCCTTAACTCGTTCATTAATTCATTGATTCAAGCAACAGATAACAGAAATTACATGTCTCGAACATTTCTCACAGTGTCACCTGCATCCGTGTGCCACATCAAAGCACAAATAACTACGTAGGGCCATACCTTTTTGTACATCATACCTTCCATTTTGGGGCGTGCACCCACGAGACGAATGGCTAGTGGCATTCAGCTTGAAATTTGATCGATTTTCACGTCATGTAGCTTTGCAAATTTTAGCAGCCGTGATCGTGAATGCCATGTGTATGCATAGGGCACCTCAGCTCAAACTTCTCAATCCTGGTGAGGGGCTCTTTGAAGTCTTTTTTATCTGTACATCAGTCATGCGCTTCAAACTAAAATCTGCGTGAAATGAGTACAGATGATGCTGATGCTGTCCTCGCCTTCGATCCTCTTTTCAGGTTGAATGCAATTCGAGAAGTGTGTGCACGATGCCCCTTGGTCATGAATGCAGATTTGTTGCACGACTTAGCTCAATACAAGTCATACAGAGACAAAAGTGAGCACTTCTACTTGTCTTGCTTCTTTTCCCAGTGTTTCACAGTTACTTTTGAGGGGTGTGTGAATAGTAAATTTCAGAACCGAATCAAATTCGAATTGAGTACTTTATTGTAATAGTGTTGTAATAGTAAGGCAATCATTTTGAAAGCAGCCCCAGAATGGTTATGTAACCATTTCTGAAAAAGTTAAATAGTTCCACATTTTATTTGAACCAAGATATCACTAGCTTCAATTAAGGAACTTTACAATTACTTTTTGCTAAAAAAATACCACAATTATCTAAACTGATGCACGGTTAGATGCTACAGGAAATAGAATCCGAGAAGTGTTTTATAACTAAGTTAGAATGCAGAAGTGACTACAGTTTTGAGTGTGGCATATTATCAAGCAGATATTAAATGAAGCTTGTACATAAATATTAACCAGTATTCATAAGGCAACATTATCATGAACATCATGATGAAGATAATAGATTGATAACTTTTGCTATGGCAAAATTGGACTAACATCCACCATCCTGTGATCAACATGGCATCAAAGGTCCTGTAAAACCTTGTGCTTCATGTGTCTTGGTAATTCTGCAATTAAAATAAGAAACATAACGGCTCGCCGTTCCAACGCTTCGTTCCTTTGATGTTTTTTTTTCATCGTTGCTTATCATTAAAAAAATATTCTAAATGTATTCGATTTTTGTCACAGGCACTATCCGATTCGAGTACGGAGTCGAGTGGTACGCTATTTGATTAATTATTGCACTGTTGAGATGGGTATGCTGTGTGCAATGTTTCATGCTCACTAGCAGTCATTATTGTTTACTTTTTGTGTCATAGTCGTCGTAAATTGGATGTAGGATTTGGAGAACAAAGCCATTCGGCTCGGTATTCAATTCAACTGTCTTGTCACATTGATGATATCATCCTAGTTCAAAGACTGCTAGTTTACTGAGCATACCCTATAACATGTCATGTATTTGGTTTCCAAGTAGACCCACAAGTTCTTTAATAACTGCCAAATTCATAATGTTACCGTTGAACCCCTTTATATAAGAGGCCCTGATGTAGCAGACCATTGGATATAAGTAGGGCTTTGTGTTTTTTGAGAAATAAAACAAATACAATAAACACTCTCTGGTAAAATTTCTGACTATTACAATTTAATCTATAAGATCCGATTTTAAAAAGGCATTTTCACTGTTCAAAGGGCATTTTCAGAGTTGACAATTATCAATCGAAAGAAACGCTCCTCCATCAGCGTCAAGTACCTCCTAAAGCATGCTTGCATCTATTACAACAAGCTGTATTAAAATAGCAATAAGAACAAACATAGGTGCTTTGTATTCGAGTATATGTGCTTGTACGTAAAATTCCGTACAATGGAGAATAATAATAATATGTCGTATAATTGTCATCAAGAATGAGGGAGGCTGGGAGAAAAAACTGTGAAACAGCTTGACCAGCTCCTTCTCACCCCAGAAGTATACTTTAGTGAATTTACAGCAATGTACTATCGGCATTAAATGAAACGCGAATTGCAAAGCACGCGGCACAAGCCTTATTAATGGTATAGGGCCTGCCGTCCACCAGTCATTGACAGACAGGCCCGCACATCCGGTGTGGCAGCACTGGGCGATCCCCCTATAGTGCAATATTTCTGCTTGTGTTCAGGTAAAGTATTTGAAACGAATAAAATAAAAAAATACAAAGGTTAAACTATTGCAGCTTAAGGTGAGTATTGTAGCACGGTTAGTCATCATGGAGTCCATCATCACGGAATGCCTGGCAAATTTTATTTCTAGTAGACAAAGGTCAGTTCATAATGCTGGCATTTCTCACTGTTTCACTTCGCGCTGGTAAAGCGAAACAATTTGCACTCTCTCTTCCGAAGAAACGCTTGGCATTATCAGTTAAAGTGAAGCCTTTTCGGGTCGGTCTCTGAAAGAAGGGTGCAGGTGAAGCAGCGCTGGCAAACGAGATACGATGATCATATAGAAATGAACCACAAGCCGATTATATTTCTCTTTTTGTTTTATCGTGCCAAGACACCGATTGCACTGCGGCGCTGAAGTAAAAGCAAGGAATTGCGAGGGATACGATCAAAAGCGCTTGGCACGCCCACGATGGCCACCATTATCACCATACGAAAACTATAGCAGAAACGGAGATAACACACTCCAGGGGGATCGCGCGATGCTGCAAAACCGAATGTGGACTACTGTCAATGGTGATAACTGGACGGCCAATACTATACTGTTTCAAATGCTTGAAACACGCGCTCCGCTGCTCGGGTTTCATTTGACGCCGATAGTACGTCAACAGCCTTATCAACAGAGTAAATGAAAAGGAAACAAGAAAGAAAATGAAAGGTTCTTCAGCAAAATTATCAGCAACCATGCAAGGCATTTTTATTAGAAGTAAAATTAATAGGGAGACATTGAAACAACTTATAATGCAAAATTAAATACTAAATTTTGCAGGATTGGAGATTTACAATAAATAAGTTGAATGCCAAATTTTCACACATGCACAAAAAAAAAAAAAAACTCTGGAAAACACATTTTGAATTTCAAGAAAAATAAACTCTGAAAACGCAGAGCTCTAGATATAAAAAACATCAGTGCATCTACATTGAAATGGGATAATTCAGAAAATGAAAACATACTGTGTAGTGGGGAATTCGCAAGGCACTGCCTAGTGGGACGATCTCTCTCTGAGTGCGAAGCGCGAGTGGGTGCACTGAGCTGTAGACGCTGGACTGCTCGAGCATTTCTGTCCGTACCGGCTGCCTGCCTACTACCTGGCGTCGCTATTAAACTCCCTTGCAAAGTGGTGGAGGTGCTGGGTACGCACGCAAACCTGGAACTTCGAAGCCGGAAGCTGCCCACTGCATCAGCAATGCCTGATCAGACGACCGAGCAAGGTACCACCCTGCAAAGCACGGCCCAATCTCAACTGGTCATCGTACCTACCACCCTGCGCCAACGGGATCCCCCCTTCTTCAGCGGCACTGAGGACCAAGATGTGGAAGACTGGTTGCAGCTGTTTGAAAAGGTGAGCGCCGCCAACAAGTGGGACGACACCTCGAAATTGGAGTACGTCCCATTTTATCTCAAAGACGTCGCCAGCCTGTGGTTCACAAACCACCGTACTAAATTTACCACTTGGGCCGCTTTCAAGACCACCCTTGCAGCTGTGTTTGATCGCCCCGCAGTGCGCAAGCTGCGTGCTGAACAGCGCCTACGTGGACGAGCACAAAGGCAGGGCGAAAACTTCACTAGCTACATTGAAAATGTCATCGATTTATACCGGCACTTTAACCCTGAGATGACTGAACAAGACAAGATCTGGCATATCTTGAAAGGAATAGACGATGATGCCTTTCAAATGTTGCTGGCAAAGGGCCCAAGTACCGTATCCGAACTTGTTACCTTGTACCAGAGCTTGGAAGAGATTCGCAAGCAACGTGCATCAGTTCGGAGGTCGACGACAGCAAACAACTCTCTCGCTGCCCTGGCCGTCGGTGGTGACAGCACCCTGCTAGAGCAGATAAAAGAATATGTACGCGAAAAGGTCGCACGACAGCTTTCGGGTCTCTCGTATCTGCCAACCACCGAAGCACCAACGAACCGCCTAACACCGACAATCAGACAGGCTATTGAGGAGCAGGTCTCCGAGGCGTTGCCGTTATCTACGCTTGCCTCTCCGCCAACACCTGTTGCCGCGCCACTGACTTATGCGGCCGTCGCTGCAATGCCTCCGCCTCGTCTGCCATTGTATGCGCCACAACCTGTGCGACCTTCTACCGCGCCATTTCCAGCTACACAGCAGCACGCCGGAAACCCTTGGCGCACTGCTGACAACCGGCCGATATGTTACTTTTGCGGGGTTCCAGGTCACGTTGCACGTCTATGTTGTCGGCGATTCGCAGTTAATGCACCAAGATACCCTGACTACTCGTTTCGGCCTCCATACCACGCGCCTCACGTGCCACCTGAAGTTCAGCGAACGGGATGCGCAAGCTGCTTCCGGTACCCGAACCTACGCTTCTCGACGTTCTACTTCCCGCTCGCCTTCCCCTTCAACAAGTCGTCGTTCTGTGTCCCCTATGCATTGACGACCCACCTCCATTGAGACTGAAAACTAACTGTCGCAGCTCCGGAGGCACGAGCTGCGTCATCGCCTAATCGTTTAAGTCCTCGCCTGTCTCCCGCCAATCTTATCGATGTAATCGTCGAAGGTGTACGAACACTTGCACTCATCGATACCGGTGCTGCGATATCTGTGATTAGTCAGACTCTGCCGCTCTCTTCGTAAAGTGATGATGCTTTCTCACGTAGTTTCTCTTAGCACTGCGAGCGCCCAACGAATTGAGCCCATCGCGGCATGTACGGCAAAAGTGGTTATTCGAGACGTGTTGTACATCATTGAATTTCACGTGTTGGCTTCATGTTCCCACGATGTCATCCTAGGATGGGATTTCTTATGACGTCATCACGCCGTTGTGGACTGCGCTCGGGCCGAAGTGGAGCTGTTACCAGTTTCGTGATGCGCCTTCTGTTGATGCGGCTGTATCTAGTGTGGCTAACCTTGTCGTCGCGACGGACATAGACATTCCTCCTTTCAGCGCCCAGTTTGTCCCTGCCTGCTGCGCTTCACTTTCTGACGCTGCCGTCCTATTCGCGCCATCTGACATCTTCGGTAGCCGCCACCACACATCGCTGCCATTCGCCGTTCTTGCGTTTTGTCAAGACACTACCGGAATATTTATTTCCAATCCGAACTCGTGCCCCCTCAGTTTGCGCCGCAACGAGACACTCGGCCTACATTCAGCTTATTGATGAAGGTACTATCGTGCCTGCCGATTTCTTCGACACCAAGCCGAATATGGAGCTGAACGCGTTGGTTCCTCACTTTGCCTTGAACAGCGTGTCGTCCGATGCATTTCACAGTTCTGTTGACAGCCATCTCGTCCCGGCTCAACAAGAGCAGCTTGTTACCCTGTTGCACAAATTCAGGCGTTCGTTTGACTTTCCCCAAGCGGTGCTAGGAAGGACGTACGCCGTTGTGCACACAATTGACTCAGGGAAGAGTACTCCTTTGCGCCAGCGCCCCTATCGTGTGTCCCCGGCGGAGCGTCGCAGTAATCGCAGAACAAGTAGACGACATGCTACAGCGTGGAGTCATCAGGCCTTCTTGTAGTCCTTGGTCTTCACCAGTTGTACTCGTCAAAAAAAAGGATGGTTCGATCCGGTTCTGCGTAGACTACAGGCACCTAAACAACATTACGAGGAAAGATGTTTATCCTCTTCCCCGCATAGACGACGCTCTCGATTGTCTCCAAGGTGCAGAATTCTTTTCCTCGCTTGACCTTGGCTCAGGTTATTGGCAGGTCCCAATGGCTGAGTCTGATCGTCCAAAAACGGTGTTCGTCACACCGGATGGTCTCTATGAATTTACCGTAATGCCATTCGGACTCTGCATTGCGCCCGCCACATTCGAGCGAATGATGGACAGCATTTTACGCGGCCTCAAATGGAACATATGTGGCTAAAAAACTCACCAAACATGGTCATGTCGTCTCGAAAGCCGGCATCCTTCCCGACCCTGACAAGCTTCGTGCTGTTGCCGAATTTCCTAAGCCGACTACAGTTAAAGAATTACGGAGCTTTGTGGGCCTGTGCTCCTATTTTTGTCGGTTTGTCCAGAACTTTGCTTCCATCATTGCTCCGCTCACCAAACTCCTTGCTGGCCCTGCAGATCTTTCGAATTGGACTGCAGCCTGTGACGAATCCTTCGCAACACTGTCACCAGCTCCTTACCTCACCACCCGTACTGCGTCATTACGACCCTACTGCGCCGACCGAAGTACACACGGATGCAAGTGGCGTCGGCCTTGGTGCAGTGCTCGCGCAACGCAAACCAGGTTTTACGGAGTATGTGGTCGCCTATGCCAGCCACGCCCTCACTAAGGCAGAAGCCAACTATTCTGTTACGAAAAAAGAGTGCCTGGCGATTGTGTGGGCGTTAAACAAGTTTCGCCCCTATTTGTACGGCCAAACGTTTGATGTGGTAACTGACCATCACGCACTCTGTTGGTTGGCTTCACTGAAAGATCCTTCTGGTCGCCTCGGGCGTTGGGCACTACGCCTCCAGGAATTCGACATACGTGTCGTCTACCGATTGGGGCGAAAGCACTCTGACGCAGATGCGCTTTCACGATCACCCGTGAAATCTGATAATACGGAAATATCAGCCCTTGACCTTCCCTTCTCTGCCGTCAGCGTCACAGACATGTCATCCGAACAGCGGAAAGACCCTTGGACTGTCTCGCTCTTGAATATGCTTTCTGACGCATCAACTTCCAGTTACTCGCGTGCTCTTCGCCGCCAAGCAACGCATTTCGCCATACGGGATGGCCTGTTATACCGTCGCAACTACCAAGTGGTGGGTCGTAAATGGTTGCTAGTCATACCCAGCCATATGCGGTCTGATATCTGCGAATATTTTCATGCTGAGCCGCAACACGCACACGCCGGTGCGCTAAAGACGTATGAGCGGATCCGCCAACATTATTACTGGCGGGGTATGTACACATTTGTACGCAAACACATTCGCTCATGTTCCCTGTGTCAGCAGCGCAAGACATTTCCTCATTCACCCGGTCAACTGCAGCCTTTACCATGTCCTGCACGCCCATTTGACCGTGTTGGGATTGACCTATACGGCCCGCTACCGTGCTCTGTTGGTGGTAATCGATGGGTGATTGTGGCTGCCGACCATCTGACAAGGTACGCCGAAATGGCAGCGCTACCTTCGGCTGGTGCTCGGGTCGTTGCAACTTCATCTTGCATCGATTTGTTCTTCGTCATGGTGCACCACGGGAGCTCCTGAGTGATAGGGGCCGCGTATTTTTGTCCGAAATTCTGTAGCAGCTCTTACATTCATGCCGTACGGTACACCGCACATTAACAGCCTACCACCCTCAGACGAATGGCCTAACGGAACGTTTCAATAGAACCCTCGGAGACATGCTCGCTATGTATATTGATTCCGACCACTCCAATTGGGACGTTGTCCTTCCTTTCGTGACGTATGCCTACAATACGGCAATTCAATCAACAACGGGCTTTTCTCTATTTTTTCTTTTATATGGTCGTCACCCATGCAGCACACTCGACACAATTCTGCCATACAATCCTGATGCCTCCGAGTTCAGCCCAGTTTCTGAAATGGCCGAACATGCCGAAGAGTGTCGTCAGCTTGCACGGTCCTTCACAGCCGATAATCAAGCCCTCCAAAAAGATCGCCACGACCGTGATCTTGTTCAGGACACTTTCCCCGTCGGTTCTCTCGTGTGGCTCCGACTGCCTTTCCACTCTCCTGGCCTGACTCCCAAGTTTGCACCGAAGTATACTGGCCCTTACCGCGTCATACAGCACCCTTTTTCTGTCACCTATGTGATTGAACCGCTCAAGCCGTCCACGGACAAGCGCCGCCTTGGTCGTGAGACAGTCTACGTCAGTCCCCTCAAGCCCTGCTACGACCCTCCTGTTCTCTCGTCACCTTGAGTCGCCAGGATGGCTCGTCTTCGTCGCCGGGGTATTGTAGTGCGGGATTTGCAAGGCACTGCCTAGTGGGACGATCTCTCTCCGAGTGCGAAGCGCGAGTGGGTGCACGAGCTGTAGACGCTGGACTGCTCGAGCATTTCTGTCTGTACCGGCTGCCTGCATACTACCTGGCGTCGCTATTAAACTCCCTTGCAACTGTAACATTTCCAGCAAGCACCCCTACTCCCCTACAGTAAAAGATAATCGAACAAGATTAGAAGTGGAGCACTTGATCTAAAATCGAAGATGTCAGTGGAAGAGCCTTAAGAAAAATGCAAATCTGTGTTTCCAATGCAATACTATAGTGAATATGTGGGCATTTGCTGTTTTGCTGAAGCAGAGAGTAAGGGCACCCTCATGTGAAATTTCGTGTGTTATTAGGACAAACATTCCGACAGATGTGACTACTAATGGCGAATTCCATTGGGAGAGCAGGAGCACTCAAAAGCATGCTTAAAGTGTTCTCTTCAGAGCTGGCAAGTTTCAGTGGTTGAACAGGTGCAGGAGGGCTGTCATCTACTGGTAGAGCGAGAGTGCTTTTGCTGCGCCGAGAGCAGCCAGGAACAGTTTGCAGTGCTCTCGCCTGAAAAGCAGAGTAGGCGCAGTACGACGAGTCACGTGGTCCTTGAACGCCTGTGGCCTCCAAATTTTTCTTCAGCCGGTGACCGGGGCGGCTATGGTAGCAACCATGTGTAGTTTGTGTAGTTTTGACACTTCTATTTTGTACTGATGGCTACAATGAGAGTTGGACGTTTGCCGAATGAGTCATCGCAGAAGCATACTAGGTATTAGAATAATGAAAAATATGTGACTGACCGATTTCACGCGTATTTTGCTGCTGCCCCACAAAGAATATGCCGGGGCTTGGAATGTTTCGACCACATGGTCTCCCCACCCATCACCCCCTTCACCTGCCCTCCAGGAGCGTGCCGCATTCTAGTGGCAGGTTGAGTGGCCCTGCTCTCAGTGCTCTGCCCCTCTACTCCTGTTCTCTCAATGGAATTCGCCATTTGGTTGGATTCTGAGGCACCACACTGTAAAGGTAATAAATTGTGCACATATCTACAGACCATCAAAACTCGTGTTCTTAGTAACTGCTGCAGATGATTCTGCAGTGCAGAACAGGTTGGGGAAAAAGTGGGAGAAGAGGAGGGGGATGGGGAGCGCTTGATCAGTCATGGACGCATATTTCGTACCTCCCTAAAAACGGAAAAGGGGGCGCGTGCTTGGGATTTTCAGTAGTGCAGTAGACTCTTAGTAAACGAAAATATCCTATACGGAATCGCTGAAACAACTGCCTTTAATGTGATTGCTTTCATACGTGAATTAAACACCCCTGTTTGTCTCTCAGTAAATGAAACTCCTGTTCCCTTAAAGTTCTATTTATTGAGTTTTGTGTACTGCGCTTATAGGAGACTCGGGACAAAAACTGATGGCCAGTGCACGTCTCTTATGAAGTGATTCAACTGTATATGGAAGCTTTAGGTTATCTCACAGCACCGCCTCATTTCTTCATATACGTACCTCTTTTATAGATGTTTCAACAGCTGCCAAGTCACTGATCCATCTGTACAGGACCATTAACCCAGAGATGCTTGCAAGAAAGTTTAGAGTAAGCGTTATTCTTCGTATTGGTGAAGCTTATTGCACTGCACCTGATTGAATGTTAAGCAGGTGCTGACTACTGCTGTGTAATTTGCACGGACTAAGTATCATAAGAAAATGTTTTTGACTGGCAAGCAAACCTGCTGGTTGCACAAAAAAATTGGTTTCGCTTTTGTTTGCTACTACCCTACATCTAATATTTGTTTCTTTAATGTAGATGTTTAGTGTAATAAAAAGCAATATGTTACAATTACTTCTTTGTTGGAGCTTATGTATATAGTATATATATTTATCATATGTCCCCTGATGGACTGATCGAGGCAGACAATGAGGTCTATATATATTCACTTCTCTTTCTTTCTTCTGCCATGAATTTTGGCGAGCTTTAAAACTAGTTGAATTTAGTTACATTTTACTGTGTTCTTTATTCACACGCTTCTTGTCCTCTAAAAATTTCTCTGTAGCACTCATCCTTATACTTATAACACACAGTCAAAAATTCTTTCGCTGATTTCGCAGGTCAGTGAGAGATTCCTCTCAATGTTTTTTTTTTTTTTTTCCACTGATATGTATCGAAAATTATGTAGCAACCAAGAGCCATGACAATTGGAAGCTGTTGTGTTTGCAGTTTATTAAGTTGTTTCCTAACTTGTACTTAGATTAGTTAATATGAGTTAGCCTAGTAGCTGTCTGTATCATCATGATTGTTTGCCTTCTTGGCTGTTTTAGCATTGTCCCTATATTCTGCTTTAAGCTTGCTGCATATTACTTGCAACTCTAGTAAAAAAAAATTGGTCCCAAGAATACATGCCTCTTACTACATAAGCCTTCTAATATAGCACACATTCTCAAGGCTTTGAAACCCTGTACACCCTTACAGTGGGTGAAGCTTTTTAGACTCAGGATGTTGAAAATATTTGGTCAATCAGTCTTCCTACAGCATTTGTGCAGGCCACTAAAATTTAGGCATAGACAGTACTGGGCAACTAAAGTCATTGAGGAACATGTTGAGACTAATTTAAGCTATGCACCGGCTGTCCAGGGTAAACCCACTGAAGAAACGCAAGAACTGAAGGCCCTCAAGTATGGGGAGCTCAAAGCTCCAAGCTTTGTACCTGGTGCTGAAGTGCTAGAAGTTGATGGTGAAGAGGAAAACAATGGTGAGTCTATGTTACTAGTTGAAATACGTTGCTGATGCATCACAAGCTTGTTTAAATGTACAAATAAGTACACAAAGAAGACGCAGGCGGAACATGTAAGCTTAAAATGATGAAAAGTCACTGAGCAGGAAGGTTCATTACTTCACGAATAAAAGCTGCTTTCTTTTGTTATATAGATGAAGAAAATGACAGTGACGATGAGGATGACGACTCGGACGGCTGGGTTGATGTCCAACATTCGGATGATGAAGCACCTGACCCTGAACCTGGCCATGAAAATAAAACAGAGCAGGGAGCAGATTCTGCCAAGGTATCTATTGTTGGGCACTGGTGTGCTTTTGGCACTGCAGGCTATGAAAATGTGGGCGTACAAAAAGGGAATTCATCACTCTTTCTTTTCAACAAGTTGGCAAATTTTAAACATGGAGTGATTAGTTCCTCGGAAATCAAAGCGTTAACTTGTACGAGGTTACTGAGGGTACGAGGTCATTTGCGCAGCACTCATGAGTAGGACCAAGGACGAGAACAAAAGACAACAGGTGCTGTTCTTGTCCTTGGTGGATTGCGAGCAACAGCCTGCTAGCTCAGCTAACCATCTTAATGAATAAAGTTAGTATGTACCGAACGCTGACACCTGTGTTGTCTGCGGGGGCAGTCTCATGCATGAAGACTGGTCATATCTACCAGTATAATGCCAGTCTCAAATCAGATGGGAAGCTTTTTATGGGTCAGATTTGCAAAAATCAGTGATGAGAGGACTGTTATACCACTTGTGTTATCTTTCCCAGTTCCCTTGCTACCAGAGCTTTTTAAGGTAACCATATAATGAGGTGCCATTTGCACTAGAACACTAGCTTACTTTTTGTAACAGCTGCATTACCACATGAACCGTTACGGTGTGATCGTCTTGCCGGGCGCCTAAGCATTATGAGAGCCATGCAATGAGCAAAACGTCAGCGGTATGGAAGAGTGTTAAGTGTCCCCCCAGTATCCTTCAGGTCTTTGTCGTAACTTATCATTCGTCATTCTACCAGATGTAGTTGTGAATATATGCAGGGTTTGTGTAAAAAGTATTGGGACAAGTTAAAAAATATATATGTTCATTAGAGAGATTTCTAAAATACCTTAAAAGTTTTCAAAGGATATTCTTCGAGTGTTGACACACTGCCGACATTTTTTCCACAACTCAAAGGCTTCCCGATAGGTGAAATCGGGAAAGTTCCTAAAGAGGCCATGACACCCAATTTTCGATCATAATCTGACTTTTGTGGGCTGATTCTTGTGCATTTGCCAGTAAGCTGGCAAAATTTTAGCACATTTGGTTGCCCATTTAATTTATAATTGAACATTTTTACAAACTGGAGCGACTTGATAGTCAAGCAACACTGCTGCACTTGTGAGCTGTGATGTAACAAGAAGCTGGCTGTGCGAGCGCCTGCTCTCTAGAAATTGATGCTGTTCTGTGGTCAGCTGCAACTGTTTAGTTTTGCACGGAAATGAACTATTTGCAGTGGCAGAAACTTCGGCAGAAAATGACTGCTTTGCTCCTTCGAACACATGACATCGCACTCGACGTGGCAAAATGGCCGTCGCCAGCAGTGGCTGGTGCTTATAGCCGGCGACTTCTGCGACTGGTTTTGGACTGAAAAATTTTTTTTCCCGGCCCAATTTTCATATCTTTATAGGCATAGTAGACCCTCTGCTTCTTGTTTTTGCTGAAAGTCACGAATTGTTCAGTGAACATTGAAGCACGTATGTACAAGCTGCTTTAACAGCACTTAGGTTCTCACATTGGTGTCCACTGAGGGAGGATTTCGCTTTTTGGAATGGGAAATAGATACACCGGTCCTTTAATACCAAGTCTGGGTTGTAAGGGGGTTCTGGGGTATCGTTGCGATGTTTATCATTGGGAAGACACATATTGTCACTTATAGCCGGGCAAACAAAAACTTCGATGTCATGCCGCAGTTAAATCATTCGCTACCTTAGTTCTTGCACCAGGTCACTCAACAAGGGTTCACTGAAAACATGATCTAGCGTGAACAAACGCTTGTGGGCAACCTAGTGATTGGTGCTTTTTGAAAGTCACAACTTCAACCTCAGTGCATGTGTCGTGCAAGTGCGTTGTGACTAACAGTCATGTTGGGAAGATATTGTTCTCTATACTGTTCATACAGACCCCGTATAACTTTATAAATTTAGAAAGACTTCACAAAGAAAAAGTCTGGGTGCCTGCACTCGGACATCTGTGGATTTGTGCATATGGTACATTCAGCAAGTGAGTGTCCGTGTTAACTCAAAGTTGACAAATGATTTGGTGGCGTCTAACCAGGCTGTATGTGTGCCCAAATTGTGACCTTAGGTGACATAATTTAGAAATGCTCATGCTGTGAGCGGGCCAAGAGCTATCATATTGAGAGGCCATTTACCCAGCTACAATGGACTGCCGCAGCATTCTCATAAGATAATAGGTTGACTTCTCACCTTTTGTGTCCGCTAGACCTCACACACATTTTTGATTACAAAATTTAAGCAATGGCTCCTGCTACTTTCAGCAACAACCTCAGCGATTTCTCCTTGTCTTCAGCTTCTTTGGGTCAGAAGAGTTGAAATCTGGGCCAGTTGGTTTATGATACTCGAAGAAAGCCAGCAATAGTATGGGACATGGTCCCATGCTTTTGCTGGCTTTCTTCAAGTATCCTTCGGTTCAGTCCATTATGCAGGAGGAACTTGAGAATTTGGGTATGGCCATCTGCAACATCCATTTCTTGGACAAGAAACTCATTCCAGGTTACCACTATTTGGGCTGATTTGTGAAATGCCATTTGTGCGTGGCTTCCTTGTTCATAGAACATGCTGCATATTCAGTGCACTTACATGCTGCTTTTAGAAAAACCACGCCGCCACAACAGTATAAACACCCTCTTTTCTTTCCCTCCCACAAATTAGAAGAAGGGCAAATCTCTGCTTAACCTCGAAGAACGTGCTCAAAAGGCAGCTCTGGTTTCGGAGACTCGAATTCTAAGCCAACAGGAGTTTGCCAAGGTTCGCGCTGCTCAGCTCTCGAAGAAGATGAAGGCTGCAATACCACAGAGGTTCACCAAGAAAGGTGCTGCTACAACCAAGACTGGTGCTACCACTGCTACTGCCGAAGTACCAGATGCCACCATTGGCGAGAAGTAAGCAAGAATCTTTGTCATGGCAGTCTACGCCATTTCATGTCGGAGCACATGTAAATTGGAGGTGTCATGGGGCAGCTGTCTGCACCCTTCTATGTTTTGGGCAAGGTAATTGGGATATGTCCTTATTTATAGATAGCAACGTTGTCCAATATCCAGATGTGTTCTAGAGAGAAAGATAAGAAAAATGGTAATGCTATCTCTCTGCTTAGAGCAGAACACTGCGGAATAAACACTGTATTTTTTACATCGTTTCAATTGCAGTGATTGGTTTCTGAATGTATTGTCAACCTCATTCTCTGTTTGACTTTCTTTTGCAACAGGAAGGAGATTGTCTCCCTGAGGGACATTGAGAAGCTGGTCAAAAATCCAAGAAGCACCAAGGAGTCTCGGCTTGCTTCGATCAAAGTAATCTTTTTTCTCCAAAAAAATCTTTTCTAAACTTAGATTTTTTTCCAGTGGGCACATTTTCCCAACATCTGTCTCTGCTTTGCTAGCATTGCATGTCATTAGCTAAGAACTGAAGTGAAATGATTTGATCTGTTGTGATCTGTTGTAAGTTGTGGTGTATCAGGGCAGTCTAGCACAGGACTTATCAGTTTGCTCCAATACCAGTGGTCCGTGTTTGTGATAGACTGTGGCCATAAACATTACAGCCATTGCTGTTTGCCAGGTGTAGCAGTGTACGTGCTGCAGCATTCTTGGTACTTTAAGGGTTACTATTCTTCGGAACTGCATTGACTAACTTGCAACATAATTTGCCGTGCCCGTAGGAAGGAAGAGAAGACCGGGAAAAGTTTGGTGGACGGAAGAAGAAAAAGGGTGAATTCGCAAGCCAGAGCAATAAGGAAAAACGCAAGACCAAGGTCTTCAACATGGTCAAGCACAAACTCAAGCGCAAGCAAAAGCGCTCATTTCGTGAGAAACAGGCAAGTAGTGCATCTCTTGGTAACAATTTAACGCCCTAATGAATTTATTAGAATAGCTTTAGTTCAGCCGAGACGTGCCTGCCACAAGCTATACTGGAAAATGTGTTAATATCAGCAGTACGATAAGGTGATCATATTAGTAAAGGTATTCTAAAGACCTTAGAAAGTCGATTCTGTGTGACAGTACTATGTACAAATATGTTAGTATGTCTCCAGCAGTAGCTTTTAAACAATTTCGGCTTCTCGGCAGTTTAGGAACTGCTCTAAGGTGCTTTAGATTTTCATTGCAGTTCGGTCCCAGGCATAACAAACCCGGTAACCATATAAGTAAGGCTATAATTTGAATCGTATATAATTAAAATATAGTTTCTGCTAATGACAAATTTTGATTAGATCATTTATGTATCTCACATACATGGCATCTGTGCAAGTTAAAAGCATTTGCATGCCTTTTATTTTATTTACTACAGTGGTTCTGCACAATCATAGACACTATAGTATTGCATTTTTGAGTGAAAAATAAACATTCTGTTTGCACATTGTTGTATGCAACCATTTTCTTTCATTTCAGATTGCCTTGAGGGATGCATTGTTAAAGCAAAAGAGAAGAAAATAGTAGGCTCACAAATATACATTTTGTTTTAATCTCAGTCTCTTTATTGAGCACAGCACCCAGCGTGCAATAAGTGAACATAATACAGGCAAAGCAGTTTCGCGATCACGCTTTCCACAAGCAAGCAGAAAAAACTGTCTCGCTATGTTACATACTGTACAGTGGCACCTGCATTAAAGTCACGCCTGAAATAAAATGGCCAGTGATGCCATACCATTACACATGAGCCATTCTCGAACACCAGTGCAAGTTTACAGCACCAGGCAGAATGTGAGGCTCATCGAAAATGCAAGGAGTGTTGAACAACAATGACCCACAACTTCTAACGAGTGTAATGCACAGACATAAAATGAGCTGCTAGTGCAGCCAAGTTCTACTTTCTTCCCATGCGGATTGCATTCAAAGAAAGAAAAAGGAATAAGGCTTCTGTTGTAAACACACACACTTGTACGTACAGCCAGGACATACACAACTATTCTAAATGCAGAAGAGTCATTATCGTTGGAGCTTTGCTATCAAATGTTGGATTCCGGAAGTCCAAGCACAAGATTACCTTATCTTGACTACTTGGTGAAAAATAGGGCATTAATTTCAAGCTCTGTGCACAGACAAATGCAGACGTAAAAACCGTGGTTGCAGATATGGGCAGTGCAAAGCTGAGGACATAGTGCATTCTCGGTGCTATTGGAGGACAACTGAAGGTTGCAGAGTTCCAGCAAACAAGTTCTTGAGTGTTTATTGGATCATCCAGCTAAACTTGTCAACCTCCGTGCTAATGGTATGTTTGCGTCAGGAATGATTATTCGTTGTGGTGCTTATTACTGTAAACGATAACTTAATTACTTCGAAGTGAAAGCTGAGTTGATACCGTAATGTCATGACTAAAGTAAAATTTAAGACAGAGAATAGGGAATGCTGTAGCGTCAAACATAAAAACCAATAGTTGCTTGTCAACACCCAAGAATTGCGTTACAGTTTACTTGTTTTCAACGTCATGAGCTATGTTCATCCGTTTCACGCAGCTAATAATATAACCACCAAGAGTGTGGTGTCTGAGCCTGACAACATGTAGCACCTAAATGACAATTCCTCTGGATGTCTTTGATAAAAATATTTATAGTACCAAAGGAATGACTGTACATAAGTCACATGTCCAAACATAGTTGACAGAGTTAGATAATATTATCAGACTTGTCTTCAGCCTCATGCTTACAATGTGACTACAAGAGCAGAACGAAAAGAAAGCATTTGTGTTGCAACAGTCTTTAAACTGCAGCAATTGGGATTTGTATATCGGAGCATAATGAAGGTTTTACTCGACTCCTTCAACTAAATTTGCTGGTAAATGCATGGAAGCATCTGGACTGAAAATCAATGGTACAACAACATCATGCAAATGCAGTATATCAGTAGCATATCGATACTTACTGTTTTCATTTGGGTTGCCCTGGATAGCTTTGTGCGAAATATCAGTTTTACAACATTTATTTACACAAACATACCAGCACGCAGGCACCATTTCCAACACAGTTATATGTGCATGCGGAAGCAATAACAGGCGTGAGAAAATATTGATGCCGCAGCTAGCAGACGCCTAAACACTCATAAGTCTTAACACGTTAGGCATGTTAAGAGCTCAAGACTGATCAGCAAAGTTACGTCTGTTAATCTAAAGTGAGGCCAGATATGCAGCATGTGCGTAGAGTCTAGCAGCTTAAACTAACGAGCACCATTGTGCCCTGAAGTCATCATCTAAGTCGAAGTGCAACATGCCGTTCCATTGTTTGTACATATCAGCATGCATCATCTTTTTGCCAGCGCAAGCACACATAGAAAACGTACACTGTTACAGTTGCCCTGCTTTAGAGTGTGTGTGCAGGCAGATATTTTGAGCGCCTCTTGGATAGATGCACAAAATGATGCGTTTCACCGATATAGAATTGCCACATGTCACACTGTTCTTAGAGAGGACAAAATTTTTTATGCAATTTGGCTTAGTTAATTTTGTTTTTTTAACATGCTAAATGTATCAGCTTAAACTCAGTTGGACAGCGAGCTTGGGGTGGATGCAGAAAAAGCTTAAAAATACAGCTTGTTGCATTCCTGACTACTGAAAAGAAAAAATTGACCTATAGTCGGCTACAACCCAAGAATAAATAAGGGCTTTGCCCCCAGTACTGCAGCGCGCCTGTCATTCACCTGTGTAAAAGAGCAATGATTGGCTATTCCCATTCGTAGAATTAGGAATTTTTTTGCTGATAATGCAAATACTATGCATATTGTGAAATAAAAGTTGGTCATTTCTTGTTAAAATGTTACATTTGGCTGATAAGTGATGTTGCAATTTTTTATGAAATTTGCCGAGCAGTAAAATTTTTCGACCAATAACTACTAAAATGAACAAATGCCTGCACAGAAAGTCACATGCCTGAAATGCGTGAAAGGTTCCGACGTTGCATAAATAAGCGGTTCAAGTTAGTGGGATATTTATTAAAACTTTGCCTGGGATGGACCGCTGTGGGGGAAGTTTATAATTATTCTTAGGCTGAGGTAGTGTTCCTCAAGACCTCAATAAAGTTCTGTGTCTGTCTGTAACTGACTATAGAAGCATGCACTAGCACTGCTCAACATTTTAAAATGCATTTTTGTAATGGCGTGCCTTATTTTTGCTGATGGCCACCACTGAGCTCTAAATACCCAAGGTGTACATTCCAGACGGAAAGCTACATCTTCAGAGAGCTGGCTTAGCAATGTGGACACAGTGTCTTATCCGTACGCTACTGCAAGTGTCTGCGGTAACAGTCAATGTAGTGGTTTAACCGGCACTGCAAACATAGCAAGCATGCAATTCTTAATGTACTTGGAGTATGTACATGTAATAATCTCATCTTCATCTTGCAATCACAAATTCACGAAGTGCAATTCGTTAGTAGTGCCATTCGCAGAAAATCGTGTTGTTCAAGTAAGTTTACAATGCGAAAGAAAGCTTATGTGTGTGTTGTCATACAGATGCGCTGAGCAATTGCCACCTGTGCAGCATATTATGCGGTGAGCAAGTTCCTGAAGTTGCCATAAACTATCTAGTTTTAACCAAACATGAAGATCTGAATGGGCAACCAGCTGACACTAGGAAATTATGTACGTTCTCAGCTTGCTCAATCAAGGCTGATGGCTTTGCCATCAATACCATGGGAATCAAACACTTCCATTATAGGACCACTTCTAGGCAATACCTGTGTGACACTACACGCCCAATAACTGTGCCAACACATTCAACCTATCAAATCGAGGGAAACATTCAAAACCATGTGCAGTACTCTATCGCGAATCACTGCTGCGCACAAGTTGGCATCGGAATCCCGAAGCCATCCCTCAGTCAAGTTTTTGTTGCACAGCAAGCAGCTGTAGTATGGGAACCAGGAGCTGGAAGCCATCTTGGATGTAGGTGTTGCTATTTGAGGCCTGCAACAGAAAATTTTACCATGAGGTGCACAGTGGGTGCTTACAATTGAATTGTAGCGTTCAATTTTGGCACGAGTCTATAACAAATGGGTAGCTGTGAAAACTTTCTTAAATGATGCCGTAATACAAGGGTTACAGGAATTTGAGATACAATGAAGGCCGACACTCGCTTGGGTTTTTCCTTCATTACGCTTCGTTTATCAGCTGGTCTCTCCTTCTCCTATCCCAGTGCTCCCCTCACCGTGCGTGGAGGAAGAGCAGCAGCCTCACATGCCTACAGGCAGACGAACAGCACTTTTTGTGGACGACATATCCACACATGAATGGTTATGACAGTACCCATGCTGAGGCTACTGAAGGGCCCGGAAAAGGACAAGAAATTGTTCTTCAAGTTTACAGTGCGCCCGTGCCTTGAGCCACTGTTGTGTCTGGCATTGTTGATAGCGACAGTATTCTGAACTCAATGCACATCTACTTGAACCATTAAAAATTATCGGAGGCGACTTTAAGGGCCTTCTAAACTGCAAGGTAGCATACTTATACAATCTTCTGTTGCATTGCCCAGCTTCAGTGCATGTATCTTGAAAAAATGACAAATGCTTTCCGTGGCAACTGCACAGAACAAATTCTGGCTGTAGTTAACCCTTTACTGTTAGTCATGCAGTGTGGACATGCTAATTCCCTGCTATACTGCATGGCAATGTACTGGAAGCATGTCATTGCTGCTTAAGCTTTCTTCGTGTTCATCTTGAAAGATGAGTACATTAGACGACACCCCCCAAAAATGGTGCACTATTCACTAATCTTTACATTAACATGACAAGTCTGACAAATGCATAAGAAATTTGAATCGTAAGCTATGCATAAAATTTGGTTCTCCCAAGTTTTAATTAGCTATATACGCAAAAAATTGTAACTTGGGTTGACATATTCAGAATTTTAAAACTACTTGGGAAGTTTTATATACGAAATGCATTCTCATTCCTGGTTTGTAACAATGAATGGTTTCAACAACAGCGCTGTGTACTAGAAGAGCACTGATTCTTAATGCATTGAACATATAGGGTGACCACCTGAGCTACACAGTGCTTATGTTGTTTCTAACAAGTAGATAGAAGCCTCAGCATGGAAATTATTTTTTGGAGAAGCTGACTTCTGGACGTGATAAAAATCCTGGCTCTGAAAAAAAGCAATTTTCCACCTCACAATTAAAACGATATTACTAGTCTCAAATCTGTGAGGCAATGAGCTGTGTGACATTCTATCCAAGCGTCCCAATAGGTCTCACAGCCATCTTCTTTTGCGAGAAAGAAAAAGCAAGACTGTCTTCACTAACAGCTTACCTCCAAATAGATATTCGTTATCAATGGTGTCACTGAGTCTGGGTCTTCCGAGTCATCCTGTGAAAACACAAGAATGTGCTGTAGTTTCATATTCTGCACGTCACTTGTACTACTAGAGTAATGGAACTGGTTGACATACCGCTGCTGTGTTGAGGCAGCGACCGCATTGGGCAGACAGGATGGCCACTTCAGTGCAAAGCACCGCAGTCAGGCTGACGGGCGAAATAGATGCAAACGTATAGTGAACGTCTTGAAATGAGTTGCACATTCCTGTCATAAAATCGCTTACATTCTAACACAACCATTGACTTAAATAGGCCTTGCACACGTGAAGTCCTTAGTTCCAGTGCAGCCGCACATTTCAACAATTTGCTTGTTTGCATGAACAAACTGTTCCTCTAAAAGTTTTCTAAACACGGTTCCACAATAAATGCCAATTTCAGCTCTATATAGACATGACATTTTGTCTTAATGAATCGCTTTTCAAGTTTAAAGACTGCAACTGACTGATAGTGTTGACAACTTCTTTACAAAATGGAAAGTGAATTTATGCATTTGACATTTCCATAAATTCAGATCACTTGCTAATCCTATGTTCTTCTACAGGTGCCATACATCTGATAAAAGCACACCAAGGATGTGCATAGCTGCTCAGTCGATGTCAATGCCAAATACTCGCTACTGCCAACACTTATAGCCTAACATTGTGAAGGACAGCAATAGATGCATTAAACGATGGTGGAGAGAACACACCCTGTGAGTTGACTAGCGTAGTGCATGGGCGTCCGGTCAGGTGTAGACTTCACGAGTAGAAGTTCAGCAACCTTGTGGTACAGCTCCATGGTTTTTGCTGTCATTTCGGCCAGGGTCTCAATGCCTCGCCTGTAAATCTCCTACAGAGAAATGAGATCAAGCCAAGTCACATCCTTGATTGCAGTGCCTATAAAGTGTCTATCACGCAGACAGCTCAGTCAAAGTCGAGGGTTATAGTCGCAGCCAAGGATTCCTAACTATAAGCAAGCATTTCAACAATGCTTCAGTGTTACATAGACTGACTGTTAATACAACGAATGACCAAAGTATCCGAGCCCAACACGATTAAATATTCGCTTGGTCTCCTTTCTTGGCAATTCTAACTTTCTTAAATTCTCGATTGTCGGCAGTGCGTTTGTACAAAAAGATCAATGAATGCCCATTTCACATGTTTGCATTCTCCTTTTGTATATTCTAGAATACTGGGCTGTCATTTTTTTTTTCGTTGCTAAGACCGAAGTGATGCTACAACATAAATCGAGTGCACCATTACCTTTGCATCCACCTTTTCCCCTTTTTCCTTGTCGTTCTGTGCAGTCTCGAAGCCACTCTCTCACTTCAAGGTCAGTCTGCACAAGAGTCAGCAACGTAATATATAGCATTAAAATGCTTTTGTTGTTTCATTTCGCATGCTTTTATGAAATTACTACATATGGTAATTATTTGAGAGAAACATTTTCAAGTGTGCGTGTACGGCTTTAGCATGAATAATAGTGCAAAAAAGAAGCACTAAACTAAAGTGCACATCTGTGCCAGTGTTGAAGAGCAAGAATGCATCTCGTGAAACAGTGGCTGAACTGCCACATTTTGCACTAACTCACTTTGCCCTATTTACAGGTGCATCAATGCAGCAACAGTTTGAACCAAGGTGCACACCATAGCTATGGTATTGACGTAAATATCCGAATGCTGAAAGGTGCTATGAAAAAAAAAAAAAACACTGATTTTATTGAAACCTAAATGTAAGACATGAACTAACACAGGGCAGTGCCCTGGCACATGCAACATACATACAGTACAGTCTCTATCCTGGGCTTTATATGCAAGCCACGCCGAAAATTAGGTCTGTTTTACATGCTCCTTTGAAATCCACACTTGCACCCATGAAGGTACATGCCTCTCTGTCATTTAAAGACATTTTGCCGCTGTTCAGTCATTGGCTACTACAGTGGCTCGAAATCACAAATGTGCCCAACAACACTGCTCACCTCTTTCAGTTTCTCCCCTCTAAGGTTGAGGCCAATTTCAGAAAGGTGGCCCGTCACCAACTTTTCAAACTCTTGTTCAAGCTCATCATCTGCAATGAAGAATGAAGAAAAGGCCAATGTATTAGGCTGTACTTCTTAGCAGAATGTGGAAAGGTGGTTGGTTCAAAAGGAAGCAACAGATCCTTGGCTCATCGGTGTTCCTTTCCAAATAAGTGAACACAAAATTGTGCAACGGTGAAAACAAATGCATGCTGCGAAACTACAGGTCATCCTTGAATTTTCTCCACTTCAAGGGTGGAGAAGATTGAAGGATGACCTGAAGAGTTCTGCGATAGTTTCAAAAGGCAAAGCAGTGCCAAGATTATATGCCAAGAGCATAGAGATTGCTACTATATCATTGTATGAAACTATATGGCCAAGAGCATCTATGCCGAAAGTGTGCGACATAGATGTGTCACCAACATAGTGGAGCATTCCAGTAGCACTTTAATGCCGCACCTGGAGTATCGTCAGTCGCAGGCAGGCTCTCACAAGTCCTCTTTATTTTTTCGAGCAAGGCATCCAGTTCAGCCCTCTCCTCTTCCCGAGCTTCCATCAGTTTCTGCTGCACAGCTGTCTTCCGCTCTCCGCACAGCATTTCTAGTGCTTCCAGATGCACAAGACCTGTAATACAATGAGGTACCTATAAGTTCTCACTTCTTTATTTACTTACAATACCACATTTTTGTAGCTGTTATAGCCTGATAATCATTAAAATTATCAAGGTTAACTGGCAGTGAACCCATTTCAATAGAAAAAAGTCTTTGCAAGCAAAGAGCCTTTAAAGGCTCTCTTTAGGGCCTGGCCTTTCGTTCAACACAAGAAAACGACATAAAAAGTTTTCATCTTAGAACCCCTTCAAACACGGCGAGCAATGCAACGGGATCATCAATGAAGCTCAATATTTTGACTTCCAGCTTTTTTTTTTTTTTTCGGTGCTGTGGCCTCACACTGTTGCGCTCACCTTGGTGCTCATCGAAAAGCTTGCTGTAGTTGACCACTTCCTCGGCTTCCTCGGCTTTCCTCTCCTCGGCTTCTTTTTCGGCCTTCATCTTTGCCTCACGCAGCACCTAAACGACAAAGTCAACAACGCATTGAATGATTGTTGCAAAAAGTGTAAAAAAATGCTTTTGATTTAGACATGAAAAGCTCTTCTTCAGAGGTGGTAGTGTTAGTAGTAGCAGGTAGTGTAGAATGACTGAACTAAATGAAATGCAAGCATCGGAAAATTTCACTTTGTCTGAATTTAGCAGTCATACCTCTGTAAATCATTGAGTCACTGCATTCGGAGCGAAAAAAACTTGAACTCGCAATTCCGAATGGAGTTTCACATTTTCCCTGTCTAAACAAGCTGTTTTGCTCAACACAAGAGGTCGGCAGGCTACCCTACCTCGGAGAGACTTGTCTTTCCTTCGAACATGCCTCTTTTCTTTCGCAAGCCAGGGTCTCCTTCGGTCAGGATGTCCATGGTTTTCTTGCCGATCATCTCCAGTGTGTCAAGGACCGCCACTCAGCACTTTAGAACCCTGAAGTAAGTGGACGCAAATGCATAATCAATGTACAAAAGACAGTGAGTATTTGAAAAATGCTTTTTATCATTACTTGAGAGACCGATTACCAAGGTACTGTTACGCTAATCAGTTATCTGTCACATAAAGCAGCATAGTACCTGAAAAACATGGAGAGACTCGCAGCAGAGGCAAAGCTGAGCGCATAAAAGCACCCATGTTGTGAACTCCTGCCTCATAAAATGTAGGTCTCAATAGTACACAATCGAATGAGCCAATGAAAGGAACAATATCATGGCTTTTTTTCAGATGTCATTAACATTTGCAATCTAGCAGTCAATAGTTAACATATTTTAAGAGCAATGTTTCTTAAGAACATAGACCACCTGATCAATTTGCCCTGAAGAGGGTTAATTGAATTTGTCTCATTTTTGGTATAACTTCATACCTCTGCTAGCTTTCTTTTCATTCTAAATGCTTTGCCGTTCCAAAACTTGAGACAGTAACAGATAATTTGAAGAAGCATTTACAGAAAGGCAACTGCACTCTGCACATTTTAATGACTACAGCGTGCCTGACTACAGCTACGGTAATCATTATAGCCAAAATATTTACACACTATGATGGCATTCGTAATCAATGGTTTCAATCTCATAAAATTCTTTTGGCTGATCTACACACAAATACCTCATGCTGTCTTGAACTAATCACTCATGTCTGCTCATATCTGTATTCCCACTGCTTATGCAACAGCATTTAATATTGCAACAGTGTTAACACCATATTCAAGAGATAATTAATGAAACTAAACTTTATACAGGGACAGATCAAGTGGTAGAAATACTTATAACCTCAATTAGTTTGATCAGAGCACCTAAGACTTTAATAAGGAGCAGTGGATAACTATGGCGATCTAAAATGCGGTCCAAAGCATTAACTTACAGTGGCTTCAACGGCTTTGGCGATAGCTGAGACACCACTGAAGATACCACCTACTCCTGGACTGTCGTGCTTATCCTCAGTCTGAGGAGTCTTGGACTGGTCTGCAATGTGGATTCAGAGAGCACAATATTTAGTTCTATTTCTACTCAACCAACTTTCAATTTAATAAACACGAATACATTAAATGATTGACTCTAGTGAGCTAAACATAAACTTTTCTTTTGTTGATGTTCCCAGGTATCGTGATAACTAACAATGGATGTAACGAAGCTATATTTAGGTAAACACAACACTTCTATAACAAAGTTCAAAATAACAGACTAGAGCATGAGCTCTGTGAGACATTTCCATTTTCACAAACATATCCAATACTCTCTACAGACCACTTTAATACTTACTTGTATGAGTGACAGCAATGAACTTGTCATGTAGGGCAAGAAGGTTCCCTTATTTTAACATTAATCATGGTAGACTAGTACATACCTGCGTCAGAAGTGACTTGAGCCGAGGAGGCATCTGGCTGCGTTTCGAGTTTTGCACTTTCCAGTTCCTGAGCAAGTTCTTCTGGATTTGGAGCACCGAGGGTTGACTCCACAGTCTCGATGACAGTTCCAATTCCCTGTGCTAGAGTTGACAGTTCACAAACAAACATATTTCAGGGGAGATGCGATTAAAAGGAAAAAATATTAATCTTTAGCCTAGGGCAATCAAATTTCTTGCTCTATATTTAGACTTTTATGCTGATTTCAAACATTCAATTAGTTTTATAGTAAGTTACACAGTTGTCATTTTATGCCATGACAATGTGTTAAGTATAGTTCGTTTTGTACTTTTTATGCCATTATACATTCATGATTCTAAGCCATTATTCACTCATATTGCTCTACATTAACTGCAGAATGCAAATGACTATCAAGAAAATGCACATTTTTTTTTTTAAAACCTGCGTTTTTCGACTGTCATCTTCCCTTAACCCATATATGCCTAAACTTAGGAAAATTAAAAGACTAATTAATTTCTTTAAGATGATTGCTTTTACGACCTCAGAAAGCAGAATAAAGCTTTTATTTAAAAAAAAAAAAAGATTCTTTTGAACAATGGTTTTGGCGCCATCCCACATGTGGGACACCTATGTTTGACACATCATGAACAAAAAAACATTAGCGCCTATCACTCTCATATGTAAGTGACTGCACACCCAATAACTGATGAAAAATAGAAAAATATATCAGCAGCATCGAGAATGATTGGACTCTATATTACCTTTTTTTTTCGCGGTATGGCACTCAGTTACACGCACGTCAAATAACCATTTTGTGACTGCAAGAACGTGGCTATTTCTAGCCCGGCAATCACCTAGACTTGCATGTGACGAGAACAGGGCATCATAAAGACACCTTAAGTGGTGCTACCTTTCTTACAAAAAAAACATTAAAGTTACACCGAAAAGTTTCACTGTCCTGCGTCTAGGACACTAGGCATATATGGGTTAAGGAAGTAAGCGGTATACCTCTAAGTATGCTTTACACATCGGTTAACATTTATTCAATCCAGAATGAATTATTCCAGAATCCATGGAACATGTGCTAAAGCCAACTCATGCGCTTTGGCAGGTGTGTACCTAGCACTTGTGAAACACGTATAATGCGATAATTCATGTCTATGTGTACCACCACGCTGATCTACATGTTGGAAATGCTTATCCCTACGGGCACATTGCGATTTCGTGCAGTGCCTGTCGCGTGTGTCCTTGACAGTACTCAATATCAATGCATGAAGGGTGTGTAGTTGTCTCTGTTCTGTTGAACAGGGAAACGATCCCCAAGTCTGTCTGAACTTCTTATCAATGAGTGGACAGCTTTCTCATAGTTTAATCAAAAGATAGATGAACTTCCCAGTGTTCACTTACAGACTTGGTTCGTGAAGGTGCTTACAGATGTTGCAGCTGTAGACAGAATGGATGATCCCCACTTTCCAAAGCCCCAGTTGATCGGTGAGCTCTGCAAAGCAGGTTAATCATAGAATACAGATAAAATGGGAATAGACAGGGATAACATGGAATAGTCTACAAAACCGTATTTACACATTTTTGCAGTAAGACATCATCATGTCTGATTATATGCACACTGTGATGTGTAATAAGCAAGTACACTTCGTTTTTACCTCCCCATAGTCCTAATACATTCATAACTAATATAAGTATGCCATCTATAGGATCTACGAGTTCTTATAAGACAGTCAAAAATACAAGCTCACATGTCAAAGCATTTATACTGCACTTTGATGAAATGTAAGGTAACCTCAGTATGAATGTGAATGCGTAAGAATGCATGCGAGTACGGGAAAAGCCCAATACATATAAAACGAGCTAGAAATTGTCTTGATCGTGTTGGTAACTGGCAAACCACACAAGCTGTATAATCAGTGTGCACTGGCAACAAAGATAACAAGGAATCATGTTAACAATTACTTGGTCAAAATGTTTATCGTAACTTGAATAGCGATTGATGTTTCATTTCTGACAAGGATGACAAAGAAAATGGTTTGTGAGTATCTTTTCATGTCGTACAAGTTATCTCTGCCAAGTGACAACGTTTCGCTCTTTTTTTTTTCTTCGGCATAGCGAATATATTTGTCTCGTCCTGTATACGAGCCCTAGCTTTGTCCTAGTAAATTTAATACACGCTGGAATGATTCCTGCAGTTAATTGCAACTATAATAACTATATACGGCGTGACACTTCACAATTTTCGCTCTTCACCTCCTCAGACTTCGAGATAAAGATCTGCGAAGCGGCGTTACCTTCTCATCCCTAGAGGCAACCTGCGCAAGGCGCTCTAGGACACCCATCTCCTTAGCTGGTGGCGTCTCTGCCGCATCGTCTTTACTCTTCGTTTCGGAGCCAGTCTTGGCGTCGTTGTCGGCGGTTGCAGCGTCCCGCTTCTCGCTCGCACCATCGCTTTGAGCGTCGTCGCCGACTTCGGGACACGATCCGTCCCCCTTGGCTTTGCAGTCGGGCGGCTCGGTCTCTTTGATCTCACCCAGCTTCTCGGACGTCGTTCGCCCGCGCTTCTTCGGCTTCGATTCGTCCACATCCTCGTCGGCACTTTCGTAAGCCTCCTCAGACTCGGACATCTGAAACGAAACGTGCGGAAATGCTGAGCCACCTGCGTCGGATGAAGCGAAACTCAACAAGTGATGCTAACCATCGCTGCATCGTCTTCTCTCTGCGTGTCTGCACCGAAACCCCGCGTAACGCGGGCATGCCACTCAAGTTAAAGTTATTACTCGGGGAAAGACAGCGCGTCGCATCGTTGATGATGTCCAGTATAAACCTCATGGCGACACGTCAATTCCAACCCGCTGCAGCATCCGCAGTTTTGGTTAGCGAGCATACGGGTGGCGATCGCGGGCGCTCCGCGAAAGGAACGTTAGTGGTGATCCTACCTTTCCTTTCGTCTGAACGAGGGCTTCTGTCAAAAATGAAGGCGAGTACGATGGCAGTTGGACCTGCGAAGCGCGAGTCCGTTATTTCCTGCACTTTCTAATGCGGCTCTTGCTCTTCTGCTGTTGCGCCAAATGGCGCAGTGCTGCCCCATTACGGACGATTAGAAAAACAGGCTGCGGTCTCAAGACCGCCCTGCCCTCGTGCTAACCCGTGCATCCGGTTGTATCTGTAATTTTCTAAACTGCATGATCAAACCCCGTGTGTTTCACAATTAACAGCTGCGCGCCGCAAGTTGCGGCACAGCCTCTTTCTTTGCATCGGAGAGGCTCACGTGGCCGCGGAGACATATATTAAAAGACGGAGAGCGGAGTGAGATGGTGCGGAAACAGAAGCCGCTCCATGTGAACACCCGCTTCGCATGTTGCCGCAGGGAAACGTGCCAGTTGGGGGCGCGGGCTGGCGCGGGGATTTCCGCCCCCCTCCCCCGCACCTATGCCCCTCAAGGGCCAACGTATTCAAAACATACATAGCGCTCACGTTCACCTTATTTTCCTCCCTGAAGAAACAAACTTACTCATTGCGAGTGCCCCTCCACTCCCTCCAGATCGAAAAAAAAGAATGTGTTGCTTTTGTACGTTACTGCTTAAATATCTTGGTCTCTTTTATCTTAATGGCAGCTTCAAATACTTTATTGAATGTGTTATATGTATTGGATGGCACGTACTAGTGTGCGCATGTTCACAGAAACTATACTTGATGTTTCTCAAGTGCTTTAGAGGGTGCACGTTAAAGAGCCCCACGCCCTTCACTACGCCGTCTCTCATAATCATATGGTGGTCTTGAGATGTTAAACCCCACATATTATTATCTTTATTATTATTACTACTAGTAGTAGTAATAGTAGTAGTAGTAGTAGTAGTAGTAGTAGTAGTAGTAGTAGTAGTAGTAGTAGTAGTAGTAGTTCAGTGGCATACCAACTACGCGAGTGGGGGCAAACATAAGCATACCTAATTCGTCCCTGGAGTGTGTGTGTGTGTGTTTCGACAGGAGGGCCTGCCTTCGTCGAGGAATACAGGGTACACGCAAAAACACATTTTTGAAATAAATGAGTACGGCAGAGGCCCCTAACATGTGCCTAACTATTATCGTCTTAGATATGGCATATATCGTGTCACTATCAATAAACATAAGCATTTGGGCGATATCTTTATGACTGCATGAAAAAATTGTGAGCAAGACGCAGTTTTCTACTACAAATTATGGGGTACGTGCAAAAACATGCAAACGGACAATGCTCCATGGGATATATACCAACGTTGTCACGTATATATATGATGGTGGGACATGTTGACTGATATATGTGGTTTAACGTCCCAATACCACTATATGATTATGAGAGACGCTGTAGTGGAGGGCTCCAGAAACCACCTGGGGTTCTTTAACATGCACCCAAATCTGAGCATACAAGCCTACAACATTTCCGCCTCCATCGGAAATTCAGCCGCCACAGCCGGGATTCGATCCCGCGACCTGCGGGGCTGGTGGGAGATGTGTATAGAGGATTCGTGAATTGCGCGATCATTTCCGAGCAAACACCTCTAACATCACACCAGTTTGTGGATATGGGAGAAATTTTTTATGCATCATCTCACAACTCTCCGCATAAATACAATTAGCTCGTCTTTGCCGAGAAAGAGAGGAATAAGTAGCGCTGCACGTGTGTGCTTCTTTGCTGTAAGAGTTGTATGTGGAGATATACAACTCAATTGAAGTTGAATGAAAATGGACTAGCTCGACTCTTGATTAAGTCTACTTAGTGCAAAAAACCACGGACTTTTACTATCTCCCTGGTTCGTGGATCAAGTTTCTGGGAAAGAATATAAGCTCTGATTTTCCCACTGCTTGAATCCATTGCTTTATTCGTCACCACTTTGCAAGCTGCTGCCATCGTTGCAAGGTGCCATAAGCAAATCTGATCACGGATTTGGCTGCTCGGAGACTGAAGGGCATACCTTTCATTTATTTTTTTGCTGTTTCAGTACGGCAAAACCAAACATTGAAACAAATTCATCACACTCATAGGCTCACAGCAGCTTCAACAGAGCAGCGGTGATGCTGTTCCTTTTTTACGGAAGAAAATTATTTGCGTAAAGCAGCAAGTGGTGTTTCACTGGTCCATATAATCATTGCTCATTTCTATCTGTAGCTGCATCAGCGGAAGAAAATTATTTGCGTAAAGCAGCAAGTGGTGTTTCACTGGTCCATAAAAACATTGCTCATTTCCATCTGTAGCTGCATCAGCCAGGCACAGCAGAATAAAAGCATGAGCCAGTGATGCAATCCTATAGGGCCCTGTTCAGGGCTAGCCTGCTCTGCAATGCTACAGCACAAGGCGCGAAAGCGTCGTACAGTGGTCTGCACTGCAAAGAGCCTACTAGGAAAATCTTCACAGCAGAATTGCTGGAAATATTCCATTATATGTAACATTTTCTCGTAATATTTTCATCTCATCATAACATCATAAATGAGGTCAAAGAAAATATCGTTGTTATTATGTGGGGTTTAACGTCCCAAAACCGCCATATGATTATGAGAGACCCCGTAATAGAGGGCTCCGGAAATTTTGACCACCTGCATGGGGTTCTTAACGTGCACCCAATTCTGAACACACGGGCCTACATTTTCGCCTCCATTGAAAATGCAGCCGCCGCAGCCGGGATTCGATCCCGCGACCTGCGGGTCAGCAGCCAAGTACCTTATATAGCCACTAAACCACCGCGGCGGGGCTCAAGGAAAAGATCGTCTTAGTTCTTGGCTTCCCCAGCCTGCAGCCAGCATTGACCATTGTCAGAAGTGGGGGGCTCAGCCCCCCTACCTCTTTGGTGGGGGGGGGGGGGGGGGGGGGGCTGGCGCCCCTCTTGCCCCCCCTCATTGCTTCTCGGCCTTTTGGCTAATAATGCTGTTTTTCACTGGTAGATTCGGAGCAGGTTTTTTTGCTCCGTGGCGACGAAACCGCATTTCACTGGTAGATTCAGAGTGGATCCGCGCTTTTCACTGGTAGTTTCAGAGCAGCTCGCTCCGAGGCGGATTGCTCGCACTGCTCCGCCGACAAGTCGCAGATTCGGGCGGAAACACGACGAGCAGCATACGTCACTTCCGTCGTTGTACGTTGTTGAGTTTTGCAAAATGGCTGCGTTCGCTGCCTTGGCGGAACTTCTGTCTAGCGACGAAAGCACTTCAAGCAGCAGCTCGTCCAGCTCAGACGACGAAGACTTCGAGGAAAGACAAGCGCTATGCGAAGCCTTCTTTCGGGAAACTTTTTCGGAGTCCCACCGCGAACGTCCCAAAATTTTGGGGTTCATCGAGAACGTTGCGCGGCTGTACACAGACGAGCAGGTAAGCGCGGAGCTCCCTCTTTTCATAATACTACATGAACCTAATTTCATCTTTTATCATTTCCTTCTCTGCAGTTCCGTCAAGACCTCAGGGTGTCGAGGCGTGTCGCGGAAACGTTGATCCGTGGTTTTGAAGGCTCGCGTCACTACCCATGCAGTGATCGTGGTGGGTCCCCCTCGAAAACCGCGGAAGAGCACATTCTGGTCTTTCTGTGGTAAGTCTGCACGCTGTTTTAAAAGTCATGCCTACCAGTGTGTATAATCTTAATGCTTTCAAGTGCTTCGGCGTAGAAGTACGTTTTTTCGTTGCGTGCGCAGAATTTTGACGGGGAGTCCAACCATTATAAATTTTTGTTCGTGTGTTTATGTGCGCGTGTGTAGAGAATATACACATGTGAAATTTAACAATTTCGGCGGCGTTAAATCTCCCTAGTAGCCTTCCCGTGGCTACGCCGCTTGTGCTTTTTGTCCTTGAAAGTTGCTAAGTGTGATGCAATGGAAACCAATGAAATATGACCGCTTGCAACTGCACAGCCAGAGAGAACAGTGTTAAGAGCTTCTACTTTTCTTACGGCTGCTAATTTTGATGCAAATATTTCATGCCTTTATTTCACAAAGCAGGCTTTACTTGATCACTTTCTTCCATAATGTGTGTTTGCTGTGTCAGGTTTGCTGCAAACAAGGCGTGCCTGAGGGACGTTGCTGGACGCTTTGGCATGGCAACTGCGACAGCATTTAGAGTCGTGGAGCGCACGCTCGAATATTTCCTTGATATAGCCGAAGAGGTAATATCATTTCCAGGAGATCTTGATCAGCTGTCAGCGGACTTCGAACAAGTAAGAATTTTAGGTATTTCACTGTTCCATGGCAAACACAACAAATGAGTTGTCTAATTGAAGCTTACTTTAGAGAATAGTCACATAATACATTGATTGTAGCAGGTTAAGCTGCCGTTGGGGCACAGGGGATGTGGTACTAAGTTGCGCTTGAAAGATGGGGTTATTGTCAAGCAGTCTCACTATCTAATGAGAAATGCTAGAGAAACATGTATTGTTCATTTACAGTGCACATAAAAGCAGGGTGTCTGCCAACGTGGAAAAGTCAGGAATTTCAAAAAAACCAGGCCAGGTCATGAAAACTGACAGCAGTTCTGTGGGACCGTCACAAAAATAAGCATCGCCATTCATCAAAGCTTAAAAAGTCTCTCAGCTGCAACTACAGTGGGCTGCTGGAAGGTGTGTGAAAAAAAAAAAGGACAGTGCATAACTCTTGCTTCTGAGTGTAAACGCGAAAGGGACCCATAGAACACAAAGTTTACTGACATTTCAGTACCTCATATGGGAGAGAGCCTTGTTTAAAAGTCATGAAAAAGGCACAGTGTACTTCAGTACGCCTAAATACGTGACGTAAGCAGAGAGAGTACATTGTCAGAAGCCTCCCATCACTCCTGTGCAGCGTATGTACAGTTGTCTGTATCTGGATTCGAGAGTTTTACAAGTCTATTTGGTGGTCTGTGATTCCGTGTGTTCAGGGAGGGCAGTCGAGGCCACGCCTCGTTTTGTGGTATCATATTTGTGTTGTTTAACTTTTACCAGTTTCACCGATGTACTGGTCACAATTATGTCAGCCTATGGCATAAACTAGACTAAGGAAATTTCTGCTCGGCAACTTGTCCTTCACATTGGCTAAAGCATTCTTTAACATCCATGTTGGTATATCCACTCTTTTGGTGCCTGTTGCTTCTACATATCACACGGCATATCTGACTCACGTCTGTAGATTATGCATGTTTTGTCTATGCCACGATTTCGGCCCGGCTTGAAGGCCGTCTGGTTTTTCTAGGCTAGAACTGCTATCAGCTGAAGCTTGCTGGGCTACTCATGTCTTTTA